CGATTCTTGCAGAAAATGATAGTGATTTGGACTATCACTCATATTCTTCGATGAATTAAATTTAATCCAGCACAGACTACACCGGCTGTGGTAATATTGAAGGCATTCGCTTGGGGGATAAAGCTATCACAAAAACATCGTATAAATGCTTTATGCATTCGTCCGGGTGTTCCGAAACGATATATCAATATTATAAATATAGAGGTTTCTGTATGATAGGTCGGCTACATATACGAAAAAAGTACATGAGCAGAAATACAATTTATAAGTTTCCTAAAGAGAAGAATGCACCATCAGGGAATCACGAAGGATAGTGTATGGTTCCGAACTCACAGCATAAGAAACAATCAAGAAAATGCCGTCAAGAAAGATGAAGAAAAAGGTAGGTGGAAAGCCTGCAATCAGAAACCAATATACATCATGCAGTCGTACACGAGGTGAATGATGACTCACAGAGCTCAGTGGTAGCATCTGAGAATGTAGCACTGTGTGACCCAGGTTTCGGTCACAGGTGGGATATCATTTTCAACTAGAATACAGAAAGGCTTCGAGAGCGAGAACCAGAAATCTCGAAAACTATTCGGAGCACAGATGCCTACAAATCGCCTTCATCCAAAAAGACTGAAGGCTACATTGCAAATTCATCGGTGGAGTTAATTCGACCAGCACTGAGAACTAGGCGATACGAAATTGGTAAGCTTGCGGTGAAAAATCAATGCAACTTATCCAGACATGCTAGACAAGAATGGAGGCGCAAATGTCTAAGTGGTAATGTCTGTGACAAAAGCACCCAGTGTCGGGTGTTCTGGTCAAAGGTGGGACTTTAGAGCCTTCAAGCTTATAGATACGCCTCGTTAACGAGTGCTCAATAGTTCGAAATCTAGGTGTAGGACGGCTTCTTGCCAATCGCCTGCATCCAAATAATAATTGTCTCACTGCATCGCGATGGTGAATCTTCTAGCCTGATGGCCCCATTGCAAAGTCATCTATCGGATCGATTTGATAAGCACTCAAGACTGGAAAACAAGAAGCTGGTAAGCATGCAGTGAAGAATCAGTGTTCTCGATGCAGTTGTACTCGAGACAAATGGTGGCATGACTGTCTCAGTGGTAGCGTCTGTGTCTGCAGCATTGGCGAACTCGGGTTCTGATCTCAATCAGGCGAGATGTCTTTTCCATCCACCTAGCATATACGCCTTGCTGATGAGTACCAGAATGCCTGATAAGTATAGGGTGCGCGGTATCCTTCCGTTGGCTTGCAGTCGGCTAATATTTGTCTCATTTCGGCGGAATATTGAGTCTCCATCCGGGTGGCAATATTGTAAAATCGTCGATAGAATAAATTAAATCAGCACTTAGGACTAGACAGCGTGAAGTTGGTTAGCCTGTAGTTACTGATCAACGTATCTGGTGCAGTCACAATGAGGGAAACCCACGACATGAATATCCCAGTGGTAACATATGTGACTGCAACACGTTGCGACACGAGTTCGATTATCAGGAGGGACATCAATTCCATAGAGGTGACAGTTACGCCTTGATGGTGAGTGCAGTATACTATTTAGCAAAGGAAGGGACAAGGTGTCAATTCAACAGCGGTTGCAGAAAAGCCCTGCTAACAAGAGATGATGGCAGAATAACCAGACCCAGGTATTCCTGCAATATTCTGTGCATCAGTAAATTAAGATCATGAGTAGACTAGACTAGACTGGCAATCAGACTGCAAAATCACGGATAGAACTGAAGTGATAAGCTCCGGGGACTAAGCAACACGAAGTTGGTTAGCCTTTAGTGCCCAATTAATATACCTGGTACAGTCCTAGTGATGCAAGTCGCAACCTTAGTAACTCAGCGGTAGCATCTGTGAATAACGAGTGATACGAGTTCGAATATCAGGGAAGATTTCAGTTTCTCACAGTTTGAAGACTCGCCTGGCTGAAGAGTATCAAAACATGACGACATATGGATCCTGAGAATCCTCCCCGTTGCCTTCCTCCATCTAACGTATGTCACATGGCATCGGGATGTCAAGTTTCCTAGCCTGATGGCTAGGTTGTAAATCCGTCGGCAGAAATTATTCGACTGGTCCCTGGGACTAGAAATTATGAAACTGAATCTTTTCCGGTGACCGATCGATAAAGCTTTAATTGGACAATACTTGGTAGTTTGTATTTATGAGTTTAGTAATTAAGGGTTTCAGGGGATTTTCGGGTGAGAAAACCAGTTCAAATAAATTTGCTTATTCGCTCTAGTCTCTTGTTACTTTAACCCAGTATATACTGCATATGACTTCTGACCTAAATTGGAGGAATGATGATCCGGTGTTTGCACCACTCTGATCTAAATGGCTGGCTAAATCTACAGATCAGCGGGAGTGGTTTGTTGCTACTTATGCTGTTCAGTAGCATGTTTCTTGAGCTAAATCATGCCCCAAAATCTGTGCTTAACCAACAGTTCATGAATCATTTATCACTGATACACGTGGTTGTAAGTCGAAAATGGGAGCACCGTCAACGTAATTGTTTCACATTTGAAGGGAGACTATCCCCTCGCGTGTTATGTAAGGGTAAAATGTAGGCTTTATTTAAAATTGTCTTTATGAAATGAAGTTAAAGTGAGGTGTAAATTGCTAGTTCTCTCACATAGTTCCTCAATGTGTATACGTACAAAGCCTCTTGACTTGCATTCGAGATGCAGTACCCAGGGTACTGAGTCAAAATATCACTGGAAAAAGATGATTTGTTTGTCTTGTGGTCCTGATGTAGATAATACACCTAACGTTTCAGTTGGTTGTAGGCAATGCGTAGGAAGACCAACTCCATCCAATTTTCGTGCTTGTAGGTACCCATCTGGAAGGTGTATGCACAGTCTGAACGAGAAGGCTCCCCTTAGGGTATTCAAACACGCATCAAGTAAAGTTGCAGTCAGAAACGTTTCCACTGAACTATTCAGACCATGGCTGTTATCCTGTGGGACTAGACTAGATACATTGGTGACCAATGTAGAGTAAGCGACTTCATATTGTCAAATCCTGAGTGCCGACCCAATTCTATCGGACATTTTCGAGTTTGATCATTGAAGTGGGAAGTTCACCATCATGATGAACTTTGATAGATGAAATATTGTTGGAGCAGGGGTTCCTATTGACGGCCTTCAGCGCACTAACAATTCATGGAATAATTCTTGACCTCCCTAGAGTAACCCTTCGAAGAAAAGTATTCTAGAAATTATTCGACTAATATGAGTTACTCTTACTGCTTGACTAGCAATCAGTCATCTCCTCAGCATCAAAAGTAACGTAATGTGGTAAATGTGAGACGACCTTTTACTGTAAATAGGGGATCTACAACAGCGGTCAGTATATCAATGCTAATGCAACTCCTTCATTAGAAGAACTAATCGACACAATGAATCAGCTGTCTCCTTTTCTCCTCATTAATTGTTTTTGGAGGTTTGGCATGATTTACTAACTTCAAAGTGGCATTCATGATGGACTGAAATCAGAAGAAGAACCTTTAGGCTCAAACAAGTCGGACGTGAGAACAAATATTCGAAGATGGCATTGGATGCTGGTCGGGTGCGCTAAAAGGAAACGTGCTCTTATCGAAACCTGAACGTCCTGGGTTCTATACCCAGTGGGGTTGTAGATGCACACTGCTGAAGAGTCATATAATAGGACGGACCAACTATCCAATGCTTCCAGTTTTCAGTGTTTCTCCTGCTTGTGTCAGTGCATCGATTTCCTTTCAGACTCATTTCTGAGGAGACTGCATAAAATTGTGTATAAACCACTTCAACTAAAAGCAATATTTCCTAATCCTTGTAAAACGAATATCGTTTATACATACACTTTTTGGTTGTGGTGGTAATTACAGCTTTTGCTGCTGCTAATCTTGAAAATATATTAGGCTTCTGACCATTCTGACTTCTGCTTCAGTGACTATTGCCTGTCGTGCATACTAACTGATTGTCTTGGGATTTTACAGGACCTCTCATCCTACTTTCAGATATTACAAAAATCAAGCCAACCAACGACAACTGCAAAGAGCCAACAAATATCGCTTTCTGATCTCTGGAGTATCCAAAATTGTGGTAGACAATACCGAAGAGATAACCTCCAAGTAATGAAGACAATCTATAATATTGACAATATTATTTGCGTTATAAAGTATAACTTTTCGTAGTTCTGTATCACAAAATCTATTTTTTGTAAAGTTTACGTAACTTGTCATTTCGGTTTACTTGACATTCTTTGGATCCACTACACATCTATCACATGTGATACAGTTGTCAAATATTCGTATGAAAGCGTACTTTACTATATCACAAATATACCTGTAATAAGTACATACAGGGATGGGGTCTAATTTTCAGTATTATTTCGAGCAAACTATTTTCCACGATCACACTGGTCGATCATTGGAATTACTTATTCCCTACAAATATGGTTGTAATAAATTGTTCATTCCACAACTGACTAACTTTTCATGGATAAAATAAATACCAGTGTTTCAGATACTACTCATTTCTTCAAGTATCAAAACTATGATTCATAGTGATTTGAAACTATCAGCAGATGAATATTCAACTTGGACATATATTTGCTCAGAATTAACTTGTCACAAATATTCAAAAAAACGAAGATGAGTAGGCGCATAAGATTTGACTTGCCAGCTCTACAATAATACATCAAAATATTTTTAATGCATTTATATACTACTTGACAATTAGTTGATAGTGTAAAAATGTCGGAAAAAATTGCTAATTAGAGGAATATACAGCGGTTTATCATCAAAATGGTAACTAAACTGCAATTAAGAGTAAATTTTCAAGATTCTCCCCATATTGAAACACTGGTCTTACTTATAATCATCACACAGAATTTTTTTGAAAAGGATGCCTAATTATGATTGTCTTTAAAACACATTGGTCATACGTATTGTCCAGGCCCATTTCAATTCCTTCTGACTGCTATCTGTGTTCAAGTCGGGTAGGTCAATTTTAACTCCAATTGACGTGGAACCATCCATCGGTTTAAATGGCAATCTGATTCCAGTCTCAGTTCCATCGAGCAGAGTGAACTCTGAAAGATTTGGCTTGGCAATTATCGAGGGTAGGATAAGTTCTCGTTTACATTGAAGGCTTGTTGGCGCTGACTCAGTCTCCTCTGTTAATGATGTTACTGCTAATGCTGATGGTAGTATCAAAGATTTTAGGTTAGTGACTTCGATACATTTTTTACTTGGCCATTTTTGTAGAATAGCGTAGACGTGTGGTGGATTTTGTCTGGCGTGCTTTAAACGCTCGATGAACTCCAACAGAGTGATTGTTCTCAAAGTTTCCAAGTCGTCAGTTTTCTTTTCTACCTTTTGAGTATACCTGGAAAAATAAATAAAATAAGTCCAACATTCATTGCTGTCGGTCAGTTTCATCCGGCTAAGTAGAACCTTTCACTATGGATGCTGTTGAATGTGGGATATTTGTTATTATCTGCAGTAGGGTAAAGAACAAAGCTATTCCGATGTTCGCAGATACAGGTGAGATTCCGTTTGGCCTTCATAAGGTTTTTAGCAGTTGAGTTGAAAACAAAAAATAATACTTTTTCCAATAAATAAGAATTCGGAGAGGTTGCTGGGTCGGTCTTCTAGTATTAGAACTCATTGACCAAAGATTAAGGTGAACGATCCTGTCGTGAGTAACTAGATAGCTCTTGCCCTCTTACCTATTGTGACTGCCTTCTACATGCAGTAACTGCTGGTTTTCACGTTTTAATGATGAAGCAAATTTTGTGTATCCATTTTTGTTTTCTGTATCTCTCATAAACGTGGAGGAAATATTCTGGTGATTTGCATTGGTTAGGTGAAACACTTCGAAGAACAGTTCAGTTGACCTCCAACTTCTAACCACGTGCCTACTACTGAGTTGAATCCGACATGGGACATCGAAATGGGACCCTAAATATCTAGAGAAACAGAGAAAGCTGCAGGTGATCCGAGACGAGGAAAAGAAACAAAGTCAGATGGACTAGTCCCAGAGGTATTCAGGAACTGTGGTGGAGGACTACTGGAAAAATTAACTCAACTGTTAACTGGTATACGAAAGTCAAATTGTGATCCCCCTTGAGTGGAGTCAATCACTGATTATCCTAGTCTTCGAAGGATGTGAGAATTCCTCTTGTGATGACTACAAAGTAATCAGCCTGACGAAAATAGAGTATTAGATTCTAAGTTCTTTGATAACTGGACGTCTGAGTGGGGCTGTGAAACGGCAAATAAGAGAAAGTCAAGTGGGCTTCAGACCTGGTCGTAGGTATACGGACCAGGTATCCACCCTCAACTAGGTTCTGAAACACAAGCACACTTATCGACGTCCAATACTGACTGTATTACTCTATCTGAAGGTAGATCGAGAGGTCTTACGCTAGTGTCCTTCATCGAAAAGAGTACCAAGAAAGCACATAATTTTGTTGGAAGCTGTGTCCTCAAACATCCGTGAGCATGTTAGAGCCTTTGGTGATTTGCAGTATATACACTTAGCTTTGTACTAGTGAGGTACAAACGAAATGTGATCCGATGTTTAGTGCTTAGAGCTAGATCAATTCACTTCGAGGCGTGTGTGGAGGAACTACAGACAGTTCTGGATACATAAACAGAAAACGAATGTCGCGAGAAGTTTATCACAGAGAATATTGCTTATGATGTTCCCAAAAATTAATGGATGAAAGTATAGAAGTAACCTTTAGTTCTGCGTCTCCAATTTCAAAGGAAATTCAACATGTGAAATCCTGTTGCAACGTCTGTCTAGAGCAATAAACGGAACATCTTGCTCAGGATGGTTTTGCCTATCCTTTGGTCGCCCCGCATTGTTTAGTTCAAGACTTAAGGATGTTTCACCTAATTTGACCTTGCCATCACACACATACCAGTTCATCTGCTTCTGAAGAACTAGTTACATAGGGCGGTCTTTTATACACGTTCGTCTCAGGATACAAGAATTTTTACCTGCTCGGTTTGGAAAGAGTAAGTTCAAACACATTGGAAGTTATATACTAGCACCTCTGGCTGACACAGGATAGATGTTATCACTGCTTCTACTGTGAAACACTGCCCTCACTCATGTGTGATTCTCCTACAGAGCTGAAGACGTGGCGGCTATGCGGCTAGCTAAGCCTGACCTTTCTCTTCAGAAAGAACATGCTTAGACGTTTACTCATCGTCTGGTCTTCTGTTGACTGCAAAACATTCTTTTTGTCTCACTCTGTCTGTTGGATATTTATGTATTATTCGTTCCCTTTCCTCTTTTATAAACACTATTTCAGACAGAATTTTTCTGCCGGGTTTCCGTACATTTCAGTTATAGCTATTATTATCATCCCATCTCAACCATTCCACAAGTGGACCATTTTATGCTGAGGCATTCACCTGATTCAGACCTACTCTTCTAGAATTTTTGTGTCATTTTCTCAATACTGACCACTCACCCGACACAATGCAACCTTAGACTTTACAATTAAATCCCCCTCACGAAGTCCCTGAATATTGTTCTGAGACGTGTAGGAAGGTGTAGACTACTGGCTGGGATCCTCCAGATATTCGGAAAAAATGGTTGAGAACTCTAGGTGAAATGGCCGAAAACGGGTCTCAATGGTGCAGATGCATTCGCTCTTTAGCGTCTTCTGAAGCTTAAACACTTTCCATAACTCTGAATTTTAAAATTCCTTCTACTCCCATAAGCCTTTTCCCCTTTTCATATTTTTCGATCTCATTGTGACCCTTGTCTCATTCCTCACCTTCTTTACATCTATCTATCAAATGGACACTCAATATTCGCATTTCTCATCTGCCATTAATTTTCACCTAATCAAACTCTTTGCCTTCCTCCTTATTTCAACCGTCTATTTTTATTTATTATTTGTCCCTTGGGTTCCCAGTGGGACATAAGGCTTCAGTATCAGGTTTCCATTTCACTCTGTTCTCTGCAGTCTTTTGAACCTAGCTTCACGACTGCCAACAAGCTTTCATTCCCTCCTCACGTGATTTCTTCCAGTCACCCTCGCATCACTGATCTTTCCATTAACAATCACTTGGCATCTAGCATCATATAGCTGTTAAATGAGGTTGATAGAGGTTTGTGGCACTGAAACCGTAGTGTTGAAACACCTGCCAAATTATTTCTCGACCCACGCTATCGAAGGCCTTTTCAGAGTCGATGAAGTTGAGGTGGAATTGAGTTGACTGCCATTCTATGCTCTGTTCTATGACGATGTATCTTGGTTGTGTTGTGTTCTCTGAGCTGGGTTGTTCAATCGTGAAACTTTCATCATCTTTCCAGACGACATCATCAGCAATAATTTCAGTATGAAGTGAGCTGTCAGTATCTCTCCGTGAGTGATTTAGTAGCTTGCCTTGACGAAGTGGTCTGTGACTGGTTGTTTTCTTTGATTGTTGTGTCATGGACTTTATAGGTTTTCTTGTTGGCTGTCCCTCTGCTTGACCTCTGACCTTTCTGTCGTTGATCATTTTCTTATCGGTTGATAGATTGGGTCTATGTCTGTACATCTGTTGATTGCTGGCTGACCTGAATGCTAAGCTTCTAGAAATTCTCTAGTATTCTTTGTGTGTTCCTCCGTTTGAAATTTCTACATTGTCAAAATTGAATCCATATCCATAATTATCCACATGCATTGAAATGAGTGATGAAATGTCATGACGTTTAGTAGCCAACTGGTGTTCATATAGGTGAAGGCGAAGAGGGCGACCACTGTCCAATGTAGTGTTGACTACAGTTATAGCAGTTGACTTTGTAAATGATCTTCGGATTATCTTCTTTGGTTGTTGCATCCCTTGGTCTGCATAATAGTGTTTGGAGGGAATTTGTTGGTTTATGAGCCACAGCCCTCCCACCAAGTGGTCTCAGTAATCTTGTCGTGATTTCTGATATATTCTTTATGTATGGCAGGATGGTGTGTTTGTTTATTTCTGTCGATGACTTTGTAGTTGGTGATGCACGGGATAGGCATCTTCTGATAAAGTTTCGTGGGTAGCCGTTCTTCTTTAGGATGGACATCAGGTAATTTCCTTCGTTTCTCCATGAAGTTGTTGTACTGCACTGTATTCTCGCTCTTTTGAACAGAGTCTGTACGCAACTGATCTTGTGAGTTGTTGGGTTGTTGCTACTGTAGTTGAGGATTTGGTCAGTGTGTGTTGGCTTCCTGTAAAATTGGGCTTCAAGTTTCCGGCAGTTGTTCTACTGACTGGAACATCCAGGAATGATAGTTGGTTGTTTGACTCCTTCTCCACTGTGAATTTGATGTCACTGAAAAGATTGTTGATCAAACTGTGGTTGTTTTCTATATCATCTTTTCGAATGATGGCAAAGTGTCTTCCACATAGCGAATCCAGGATTTTGGTTTGATCACAGGTAGGATGATGGCTTTCAGTCTCTGCATCACTGTTTCTGAGATTAGTCCGGATATCGGTGATCCCATTGGAGTTCCCTTCATCTGTTTGTATATCTTGCCGCTGAATTGGAAGTATGTTGTCAGACAAAGGTTGATGAGTCCCATCACACTTGAACATTTAAGTTTTCTGCGTTCTGTAGGGCTTGTGTCTTCATTGAGCAGGAGAGATATAGTTTTCTTGGCCGATTGGGGTTGGATGGATATGTATAGTGCTGTGACATGGAAGGATACCATTAATTCGTCGTTTTCTATGTTAATGCTTTTGATCTTTTCTAAGAATTCTGTTGGTGGCTTGATGGAATGTCTGCATGATTGAACGAAGTGTTTTAGTTTTCTCGAATGTTCTCTTGATATGTTGTATGTTAAAGTGAGACAGTTGGTCGTAGAGGGATATCTAGTTTGTGTATTTTTGGTCTGCCGTTGAACCGAGGAACCGATTTCATACGCCATTTATCTTGCTTTGTTATTCCTTCTGCTTTGAAGAGTTTGTTCAAGGTTTCATTGATCTGGTTGTCGAACTTCTAGATATGGTTGGTTTCAAGTAGTTGATATACATTTTCATCTTTGAGTAGTTCCTCTGCTTTCTCGATGTAGTCTTCTTTGCGTCCTTTGTCTGCTGGAGGTATGACACTGTCTTTCCTATTTTCCGGCCTTTTTAATTTCTTCTGTTCTTGAGTGTTCATTTGAGCGTGATATCTCTTCTGCCTGGTAAGTGGTACGATTTTTTGCAGTATTTTTTGTTGAGATCACTCAATAGCCTGTCCTACTTTAGTTGCAAGTGTGTCGTGAAAGTGCCTTTTGTCTTTACGCGCATTCTTCTTCACTTCTTTGTGCAGTGTAATGTTTTATAGGTTGTGTTCACTTCTTCTTTTCTTATGTTCATCTCTGCACTGCACTGCACTGGTTCATCTTCTGCTTCACCATCACCATCTTCCTCTTCCTGCTCTAACAGCTTCCATATATCCGTCGAGATCCATCCCTGTTTTGTTTCTTCTTCCTTCCTAACACAGTCATCCAGGTTTCCCTCCACATCTCTTTCAAAGAGTTCCAGTCTTCTTCCATGTCCGATCCTGCAGGGATGTTGCTTAATCTCTCGCATTTTGACATGATCACTGACTGACGTGAAGATGTCGTTTGAAGTTTCGTCCTTCAGTATAGTTTCTGTTCTGGGTGTTGAACCTGAACTGTAGCCGTCTATCACAAACTTCTTTGAAAGCTTTCAACTTGATTTTGAAGATAGGTTCCTTGCACTAGACAGTGAGTAGTGGTGTAAACCACCTACATCTGCTCCCCTTCTTCATCTGATATTGTGTCCAGTCCAGTACTCTGTGTCCCTATCTCCACTTTCTTGAGATTGAAATGAAGTCGATCTGATTTTTAGTGTGTCCTGGTGTCTGGTGAAATCAAATCCATGTCGCTGCCTTGTGAATATCCTTGTGTTTGTACGCAGTGCCTCCAATCGCCAGGTCATTAAATGCCCAGAAGTCTGCAAAACGTTCTCCATTCTCATTCATTTCACCCAGTGCTTCTTGACCAATGATGAATTCTTTTCCTGTGTTGTCCACCACCAGTTTGGCATTCATGTCGCCCCACCCATTAGAATTTTGATGTCTCCATCTGGTGTGGGGTCTTGTCCAGAATTGATTACAGTTGTCTGTAGAATTCCTTCTTCTTCTCTTGATCTGCATTATTTATAGGTGAATAGCATAGCATTGTATGATTGTGACTTTCCTTCCTTCTGAGTTGAATCCATCTTGCTGTCATGATCCTGATCGTGGTGGAGATTGGTTTCCACTGCAAGACAGCCTTTGATGTTCTTGTAAGTGGGACATCATGATAGCCACTCCAAAACTCAGTGTGCTCGTGGTTGTCGTCTGGGTGACAATATTGGAGTAGATTGTTGACCCTCCAGTTGACAGGTGAGAGAGTCTACTTCCATTCCATCTGCCGATTCCTCGCAGATTCCTGGCACTTCTATGCTATACCATCTCATCTCTTTTGCAAACTGGGAGCCTTGCTAGTCAGCTTCAAACACTGTGTGGAGATTCCATGTCCCTAAGCTTACTTTTGCTTTCATCGAGAGAAGAGTAGGCAGATCGGCCAATTAGTTTCCCGAAGATTTTCACCAACCGGCGTCATTTTGTCTCCCCGATTCCAGCAAGGAATAAGTTTATTTTTATTTTCTATATTTTCTTTGTGCTTTAAAGTTTCTTTCGCGGTTGGATTGGTTTCCAGGGTAGGGTTGATAGCCTTTTGCCCAACCTTCCGTCTTTATCCGGGATTTGGACCAGCTAGTAACTAGTTAACTAGGCAAGGTTATATTTCTACTAAGTGATTATAACGCAGATGCTCTCCATTCTTGATTCCGGTTTTTTAGCACTAGGCTAATGATGTAATTATACACTATTGTTTAATAATAGACCGTTATATGTTTATGATATATATAAATACAATTGTACAGCTTTTGGAAATGATATCGTCGAAAAAGAAAATTTTCTTCTCTGCATTATCTATTCTTTTCGTAATTTGTAAAATCATTTGCAAACTAATAATCTTATTTCAATTTTATCTCATTAAATTTTTTGTCTCATTCATACTAACTGCTTAATCCCTTGATAGCAAATTAGCTCCACTATGTTTTCACCCCTTTGCAATCAAATCTATATGCACCCTATGCGAGATTATGTTCATGCTTCCATACGAATTTCTTGGACTTACGAAGAGTAACAACGAACTGATTATCACTTTCTATCCTGAAAAACTAAGTTCCAGAAGTGTACACTTTCACCACCTTGTGATCAAGAAATGGGATCTTAGTACCTCTTCCTACTTTTAAAGTGAAATGAGTGGATAAGTAGCTGACTGAGTGTTTTAAAAAGGATATTGTGTAAATCTTGGGTATCGTTAAACATGATAAAGGAATTTTTAGTGTATCTTTCGTAGAATCTCAGTTTACAAATGGTAGGTGGAGGGGTATTATCGTAGAACTTTGGTTGATTGGCTTAGGTAGTTGACTTACCACTAGTGGACCATGGGTTCGAATCCAACTCCGTTTATCAAGGTTTGGCCAGCCAGGTGGTAATATCATCAGCCCTCACACAATACGTGTATTGTCTCATTGTCTACTGTACTAATATGCACAAGGTTACTGAGAGAATTTCGACTGTCCTCTACACATGACCTTGTGAAAATTAATTTAACACTTAGATGGCATAAGAGTTTGAACTCCAAGACATGTTTTTCACCGCTTTCGGGAGCGATTCTCACCATGCTTCTGGAGAGGAGCATATGGTGCAGTCGATTTTTCTACCCAGTTTCTCCATCTCTACTACAAACAAAGTCAGACATTAAGTGGTGGAAACAAACTGGTCAGTGATCGAGTTGAATCCATCATTTTACTTATGTTCAGAGATTCCCACCCATCATATCGAATTAGAGAATTCTCACAGTTTGATCAACAACGTTCTCAACAACATGAAATTCACAATGGAGAAGGAGTCGAACCACCGACTTCCATTCCTGGATGTTTCAGTTAGTAGAACCGATGCCAGAATTTTCGAAACTCAAGTATACAACTAAAGAAGCAACAACACACACAATTATTTGCATATAGACTACATTACAAAGAGCAAGAACACACTGTAGTATGACAAGTTCAGGGAGAAACGAAGTTGATTACTCCATGTCTGTCGTAAAGAGGAACAGCCACCCACGAAACTTTAGTAGAAGATGCCTATTCCATTCATCATCAAGTACAAAGTCATCCACGAAAATCAGTAAACAGATCATCCTACCATGCATAAAAAACATTTCAGAGGTCATAGCAAAATTAATAAGACCAAATGGAATTGATATTGCTCACAAAACAATAAATTCCCTTTAATCCATATTATCCGGCCTAAAGGACGCCATAGTCGAAGAAGGCAAACCTAGTTTTATTTTGTAGACTTCAGGATCAAAATTTCCCCAAGTTGATAGAGTTGAATAAGTTGGGCATTGGGTAGACGGATTATAAAAGAAATGTATTTTTAAAATCCTAATGAGGTAGAAAAGTAAATATCTTGACCCCGCTTCTTAAAAATTTTATATGTTAGGGTTGAAGCAGTTCAGCACTAGGTAAATGGATTATAAAACAAATTGTTTTCTTCCTCATAGGGATTTTACAAATATGTTGACTGGTTACTGTGTCATAGACGAAAGATTAAAATCTCCAGAAGTGACTAAAGTGAATTCCCTTGTTCTCAGGGAGGGTGAATTGTCAATGCGTTGGTAATGTCGTACGTCACAGATTTCACTCTGTCTGACAACTAATTGTTCCCTTCACTCAAAGTGGGTATATTATGCGGTTACAAAATCTGTAATCCATCTTACCAAACAAAATCTGGATTCGATTCTCTTTGTACTCTCCATGGTTGTGTGGCATAGATTGCTTCACCGTTGACAGATAACCATTCACCTAGTTGCAGTAGACGTTCTTCATAGATTGGTGAAATCGTCCCCCAGGCGGTAGGTCCAACATTGATCAAAATATTTCCACCGTATGCAACAGTTGTAATCATTTCGCCGATGAGTACCTTAAAAATATTCCATAGCACCAATAACTGACTGATTGATTAAACATTTTAAAACAAACTATACAAGTTAATTGAGGATATTTATGAAGAACAAATCTTTAAGTCGCTGGTTGAAATCTTGTCTGCCTTCAGAGCTTATCAACAACTAAGAATGATGAGGCTATCCCTTTACCTGACAGCTAGCATTAACTTTCAGCAAACAGTTGTGTATTTCATTTCAGTCAGTCTATGGGAGTGTGAGTGGTCTCAGTCATCTCATCAATCATCCTATTCTTTCTTTACTTCCGTTGACAAATAAAAAGATGCCACCAGAAAACTTCTTCATTCAATATATACTTCGTCGAATTGCTTATTTTGAACTTGTTTTGATCATTCAAATGTCAACAAATAGTAAAATTAACTCTCATGTATTGTTAAGATGTCTTCAATCTATCATTGAAGAAGCTACCAATAAAGTTACTGAAAAGTATTACGGTAGACCGGAATGGGCCCTTCAGCGCATAGCAGTTCATCAAATAGCCTATTGCAGGAATAATTGAGTGTAACTGCAAATTTTTATGATGAACGAATCAACCAATCAATATCAACACAGGACCAGTCATTACTGCGTAACGGTCCGAGTTGCCACAGCTCTTATCAGTACATAAAGTAGAAAGGTAGTGAGGTGAAGGATGAAGATAAGAGAATGCAATGAAAAGAAATATAAAGTGCAAGATGAAAGAAAAGAGGAATGACAAAATGGTGAGATTCGGTATAGCGTCGTTAAGATGAGGATAATGTGTGTATACATCTGCACCACTGACATCGGTTCTGAGTCATATCCCCTAGAGTCTCCAACCACTGGTTTCTCTTGTCCCGTGGACCCCAACCACCTAGTCTGCATCGCCCCACATGGCTCAGACCGAAATTCAGAGACTTCATGCATTGATGCCATGTTTTAGTGTGGCCACCTTGGGCCTTTTTCCAGCCTGAACCTACTTCGGCCAACATTGTGTGACGAGGCAATCAATGACTAGGCATACGTAGTACGTGTCCCAACCATCTCAATCGATGAAGGTTCATAACCTAGTCAACTGATTTACCTCTTCTCCCTAGAACTCTATACCTGACTTCTGCATTACTCACGTGGTGATACCATGGAACACGGCCTATACTACAAAGGCAACAGTGGTCAAACACTTGAAGCCTTCTCATATCTTCCACCTTGAATGGCCATGTTTCACAGCCATAGAGTAGAACAGATCGGACTGCTGTGCAGTACACGCGACTTTTAATAGACAAACGGATATCACAGCGGCGCCATAGGCGGCGTAAATTGGCAAAAGCCAATCGAGCCTTTTGTATCCGTGCAGAGCGTAATGAACGAATGAACTTGCATGATCAAGCTTACCGGTGATTTCCTACTCGTCTCCACACCACCTCCCCCCACTGTGCAACAACTTACTCAAGAATTAGGTGGCATCCTAAAAACAACTGGTTGTTGTGTATGATTGCCAATAATACTGTTATTACTAACATTACTTTCAACTGTCATGGCTAGGCAATTCGCGAATATTGTACAATGAGTAAACTGGTTAAAACATAACATACTGAAAACTCCATACTGTAATATAGTTTGAGATTGATGGAGATTTTATTTATTGCAAGGTAGTATTCATGATGGATTTATATCAATAGGGCAACCATTGAAGGCCTGGGAGCACTGAACAGGTGTTTTGTCTTAGTATGTGACATCTCAGTAGTAAGCGCCCACGATCTTTCCTGCAAGCAGAATCAGAACACGGTGAACGGTGAACGCTTTAGTTATTCAGCCACTGGGTCAGACATCTGTGCTCCACAGTTATCGACATGTTTTAATTTGCAACTTAGTGCGACTATCCACCAAAGTCTTCAGTCAGTATCTGCTTTACTTCCAAGTGATTTTCAGTAGTACTCCAACAGATTTCAGTTCAAGATAAATATTACCTTAAATGGTCTACTGTCTGGAATAGCGGTTTTTATTCTCTTTATCAATATAAGGAAGGGATTTTTTCATCAAAAGAAGCCCGTTACCTACTTAAAATCAATTTATACTTAGATTTCTTCGATTTTCACATTATTTCATCTCAAACGATGATATCCACCAGAACTTTATAATTTACATTGTTCTTTTAGCTGCTCATTTTACCTACTTATTATTGTGACCTGGATATCCTTTTGTTTAACTATATAAACATCATTTAACTCACCTTGTTTAAAATTCAAAGTGATTTTTGTCATGGATGGTTGTCATTTGGGAAATTATTGAAAATCTTTGAGTAGTCAATGTCTGTTTCTTCTTTGAATAGGACTCCTTGGTAGTGCGCAGTCACGACATTGTGAGGGGTCAAGTCCAGCAAAAAGCACATTATCAGTCAGTCACTGGGCTGAAATTGAATAGTTCACCCCACAGGTCACCAATTCACGAAGAATAAATTCGTTATTTATGAATGTTGACCTAGTTCGACTGAAATTATGTGCATGAGATTTCTATTATTTTGTCGTATGTTCTATATTTAAAGACGCGAACTAAGATTACAGTAGATAGTGGTTGACAAAGGAATTCAGGATACATGTTTGTCCCACTTGAAACTCAAGAGCAGGTTTCTGTTGTTATGTGGACCCGAACCGGGGAGCTTATATTCATGTACATGACTCATACCAACGGTCAAACATTTCATGGACTGCTGCAATGTCTTAGGTTTCCCATCCCTAACTTTTTTCCAGCATAAACCTACTTCGGTTAAAACTGTCAGACCAGGTAGACGGTAAGTAAGCATATGTAGCAAATGTCCAAGCCACCTCCATCGATGGTAGTTCACGACCTTAATTAATAACCCTCTTTTTCCCCCTAAGACTCTACGTTTGACTCCAGTTAATGATGTGGAGAAACCACGACACACGGTCTGTCCTACGAAGATAAGAGCCGTAGGAAATCTTTATTTCTTATTTCCTCTACGTTTACTCGGTTCATTTCACAGTCATCTAGTAGAACTGATTGATCTGCTGTGCATTACACTCAGGTGTTTAATAGAAAATCGGATATCACACCAGCATCATAGACAGCGTAGTTTGTGGCAGAATCAACGATGAGAAGCACTCCATTGATTGAAGTCGATATTTATTTCAGTTTTAAACTTAAGTTGAGACAGAATTTGAAGCAGTTGCCCGAAGACTACTGGTTCGATAGTCAAACATACAAACATGATGAAACAATTGTTTGCGAGCTCTGATCTCCACTTCATTCAGTGAAAGTTTTATCCAAATGGCTCGATGATAATGTGTTTGACTGCAACACTGAGTAACGCAGGTTTAAATCTCTGAAGTAGCATTACTTCCCTTGAGGTTACGTATACACCATGCTGATAAGTGCCCACTAGTACCAAAACCTAGTTCTAGAGCTTCCTGTGATGTGCCCTCAACCAACAAGTATTCAAATTCCGTCCATCTGTCACGTGAACGGATGATAAAGTTCTTAACTAGAGTTTATTCTAGTTTACCTGGTGGTGGCTAGCAGTGGAATCCAGAGCGCGAGTTTCGTTCTGTTTGTAACGAAGTAATGAATTTTCAGGCAGCATCGAGGCATGCATACTGGAGCCAATAGGCCAACAGAGTTCGATTAACTATAGAAACGGGAAGTTACAAGCATCAACAGATACTAAAGTTTAGTCTACCAGACTGAATTTGTCTAAAACAGCCAAACTTCATGTGGTTTTTGATCAGTGATACCGAAAGGTTAAAAGTCTTCACTCCTCTTCCTAAGTTATCAAGAAAGCAGGTGATAATGGAGTTCATGTGGTTAGATATCAAGTGAGCGAAATAATCAACTGGAATGAGTACGTATGTATGAGGTTAATGTAGCCTATGATGAATAATGATTAAGCTGACAGTAGTTAAAAGCTGCCTGTTACGGTGATCATTTCAAAGTTACAGCTGGTGATGTTATCAAGAGGAACAGTGAAGCACTTGTAGTTGAATCATTCAGATCAGCACACACATAGAGAGAAAGAAATCTAACAGTAGAATTGTGCTCACCTGTGGTGTTAAAATACTCTTCAGGGTTATTTCTCGTCTGAAACCCCATGAACAACAATCCAGTGTCATGCAATTCTCCCATTTATGCTGAATCAATTTCCCTGGATGATAATGATCCTCACAGGAATAATAACCGCCATGCTGGCAAGAACATCCATTTCCCCAACGATCATTTGTAACAACGGTGTCTTTGACAGGAGATTCATTATAAAGCCATGCTAAAAAGTGTGTTGAATTCCAATAGGTATCAGGACCAGCATCGCCATCAGACCAAATAATCTCCGGTTTGTAGCGTAATACTAAATCGTATAATTCAGGCATTGTCTTCTGTTCCACAAATGTCTACATAGATAAAATAGTAAACAAAAAACAACCTCTGGATATAAGTCGGAAATGGCTGTGGAATGTTGCATCACCTCATTTGAGCAACGATTGGTCATAGATAAAATTTGTAGGCTTAAGCTGACTAGTTAAGATATTAGAATTTGTTTTCAACTGGCAAAACGTGTTTAGAGTTCTCATAGGGTAATTGTCTACCTCAGGAGAGTTTATTTCACCAATCCATAAATGTGTGCATTTCGTAGTATTCAAGCTTTACGTCGACCCCCTCCCCCCTAATTCGATATCAACTAACGAACTTGTCAAGTAGAGCGAATCAGCATGTGAGTGTTACGGAAAATACTCCAGACATTGAAGATTACAAATATTACAAACATCTGCGCCATTGTGAGCCATTTTCAGCCACATAACTAACAGTCTCAAACTATTCATTCCCCCTGCCTTTAAGACAAACGTAACTCACCTCCCCACTACACTGTTCACACCAACAGTCAACAACCTCATTGACTCATACTACACCTCTATCTGCCTCCACTGAGTTAGCCTTCTTTCAACGCAATCCTATTTCGTTATCATCGTGTATCATAGTAGACGGTGGTTTAGTATGGGGAATACATATTCAAACCAGCCTAGTCAGTGTATGTTAAAACACACACATATGCACATTTGATTTTCTATTCTCAGCTGTAATCTCTTTTCTTCGAAGGAGGAGAGCCAATCTTCTGTGTAGTTTATCCTAATCATCTGAACTTGAAGTTGAACAAATTTTCCAAGTTGGAATATGAACACTGATGATTTCAGCATTCACGATAACTTGGTTACATAAACTAGTCCCTTCAGGGAGCAACCAATTTCATGTTGTCCGGTACCAACTCCTAACCGAATTCTAGGTTCTGCATCGCAGTACACATTGATAAATGTTAGTTGCCTGAAGACAATCGTCACGAAGCCCTGCTCAACCCAGATTTTGCGCTTCTTGGCACGCGTCAACAAGGCTTTTCTGCAACCTCAACGAAACTGATATCTTCTGTAGGATTCGAACCTGCGTCGGGCAGTATTGTAGTCATTGACATTTAACACAGAGTTATTCGTACGGCGATGGTCTCCCTGTAGGATCGAGTTAGATACATTGACTAGTCACTCTTGTGAGCAACTAATTTCATAGTCACTAATCCAGATTACTGATAATGACTGATTATTGATAATTTTGCAGGCTTCGAGTCACAGACAAGACATCAATTCTGTCGAGGTTTTAGATTATTAGCCTTGCTAACGAGTGCCCTTAAGCACGAAACCTACATGCAGCGTAGCTTCCTGTCGATTCTCTGCATTAAAATAACCTCTAATCGATCACATAAACGATTATGTAACACTCACTAAAAGATAAAAATGAATCATATTCACTTCGGTGATGAAAGTTATACGAGTAAAGCCTATCTATCATAAGTAGAAGTGAAAATGAAATGTAAATGAGATCAACTAGCAATAGGTGTGTGTGTATGTGTGTGTGTGTGTGAAAGTAGGATACGATAAACAAGTATAGATTATTTGAGGAATACCGGCTTAGTAACAGGATATTCATGTTAGAGAATAAAATAGGTTAAGACAATGTGATGAGACAATTGATATATTTCCTCAGCTTCCTCCCGCTCCAATACAGTCAGACTATTCGATAAAGGCTATTTGTTCGGAAAATACATAAGCCGTACGCATAGATGGTTACATAATTAATAATTTTGAACTCATTTCCAGTCATAATCGATTTTGACATTACTCCGTTCACACAAGATTTTACTGAAGAGAGGTCCCCAAAATGTATAATATTATTACGAAAGTGTTGGATGATATCTCACTGTTGCTAATGCAAAAATTATATAACGTGGAGGGGGAACTGTAGGACCTGAATTGGAAGAAGTTACTGAAAAGAATATACCTTGTTCATCCAAATGTATCTTAACAAAGTAATATTTACTTTAAGGAATTTGGGGATTCAACCATGGCGCTGCAGTGGAGAAAATCACAAAATCAGCTATAAGGTAGGTCAGTAAGACCCAACTAAATCGGTCCTCCAACAAACAGACTAGCCAATGACTCAGACCAGTCTGTATACTAATCAATCAGAGAGATTAAAGCACCCAATCAAGATCAAGGTTTCCAGTGTAGAAGACAGACAAACACAATATGAAGCACGAAGATGGAAACAAAGATAGATAGGTAGAACAAAACCAACCTTAGGCGTATATTCAGGACTTTAATAAGAAGTAAATATATTTGTTTTCGTTTAAAGGTTCACATCATCTGCTGTTGTTACTTATTTGAAATTCTCACTTAGGACCGAACTCATACCAGACTACTAGCATGTGCTAGTAGAAATAAATAAAAGATGTCAGTCCATGATGAATACTACTTTTAAATTAAAAATCCCCATTCATCTCAAAAATAAAAGATAAATCTGAGAAAAATTTGCCGTTTCTTTTATTTTCGTGATATTGTTATTCTTGTCAAGCTGTACGCATATAAAAATGTCAACGTATCTATCTGAGTGGCTTTAAAATGTTTATTTTAGTCAGACAGTAGTCATCTGTCACTATGCAAATAGTCAGTAGATCGCTGAAGTTGTGTATACGTTTAATCGAAACTAGATAGTATGTTGTTCCGCAAACCTGTGTATAAATATAAAATGAAAATAATTAACTTTGAGGATTCTGGGGATTAATTGGTCCCAAGGTGGTATTCATCATTGACTGATGTCACTTGGTGGACTATTAGAAACATGAGACTTCGATATCGCAGCTGAAACTACGGACCGTTGTCTCTATTCCAGTGGATGGATAGTTGACGCGCTCGGTTGGAGAACTGGAGGTCCTAAGTTCGATCCTTGTCGAAGTTGTGGATGTACACTACTCAGGAGTAGGATACCATGACAAGACAGCTGTCCAGCATTCATCATGTAGGAACATCAGTTAAAAGACTGCTAAAAACCTAGGAGCAGTGGAAATAATCAAATCGGCAATGAGTGTAATTAAATAAAACGTTTATTCAAAACGGAACAGAAAAACAGAAATCTACTTGCATTCACCTGTTTTGTAAAATTACTCTTCTTATCACTTATATACAAAGGACTGAACCATTCAAATAAGGAATGATACACTCCAAAGCGTAGATTAGTTCTATTACGAACAGCTTGTGCCAATTCCCCGACTAAATCACGTCTTGGACCAATATCTACTGAATTCCATTGCCATGAAGTTGGTGATGGCCAGTTGCAAAAGCCTTCATGGTGTTTTGCAGTCAGAACGACATAACGTGCTCCTGATTTACTGAATAAATCAGCCCATTGGTTGGGTTGAAAAAATTCCGCTTGAAATTGTTTAGCGAAATCAGCATAGGCAAATTTGGGTTCATAATATTTTTCCATGTATTGGGGAATTTCTGGCATTGATTTTGGATCACCTTTCCACATCCACCAAAACCATTCAGTTCTGTCCGGCAGGGGTGTTAGAGTAGGTGACGGTGGAGAAAAAAAAGCAAGTAAATATGTTTTGAAAAGAGCTTATGTTCTGTTTACTACTACATGCATTTATGAAACTTCATAAACATAGATGATTGAAGAAAACTATGTAGGAAATAGATTAAGATTTATGGAAGATGAGCGAACCACTTACAAACTTCACCGTCCACGCTGGCATTTATCCATGTTGAGTATGTGTCACATTGAACTGTTACACGTGCGGCAATGCCAGGTTGCATATTGATGTGAACTGAGTGACTGCTTGCGTTGATATCAACATAATTTCTGTTTGGAACCACTCAGAGTAGATCACAGGTTATGATCCATGATGGAAAAAAGGGAAACTTCTCTCTAGTGATTAGATCGCTTTAAGGTGACCAGCTTCAGTGTTTCGCGGTTACTCATATATGATTTAGCGGCAATTTCGGAAAAAGACTCAGTTTGGCTGAAGTAGAGATTGATAACCGAATCGAATCACCATCAACTACGTACGTCAGGAGTGATCAAGTAACCGTTCCACATATTTAGTTTGCAGGTGTGTGGGGGTTTATTTATTTCAAGTAGACATTTTTTAAGGACTGACATCAGTTGGTTAACTATTGAGAACGTGGGAGCACTGGACAGCTTTTCCGTCGCAGTACAGAACCCCTTACCAGTGCGCGGCCACCACCCCTTCTCACACATGATGGAACCCAGGACCTCCATGTTCTGTGGCGAACACGTTGACCATTCAGACACTGGGTCAGACAGAATTCAGTAGTTCACGTTCTCCTGTTTCTATCAGATTGTGACCTTCTGGTGATCCTGTAGTTCAGGAACTGTTCTCATGTCTGAATTGATTTGCCCCACTGCTCAAGATTCCCTATTAGAACATCGGTCAATCTTATCTTGCCGCAAGTCACTAATAAGCACTAGACAGTCAAACTATTTGGAAGTATGTAGCGATTTATTGATAACTGCACCCACTCCTCTCAAAAATCAGTGCCTAGGATAGTCTGTTGTAGATGTGAGGTCACAATCAACGGAAATCTAATTTTCTGACCTCCTATCTTGACGACACAGTCTGATAAACCTGCGATTTCTAATGCATGTCCAACAACCGTGTGGACACCTACCGTTAGCGCACACGTTCTTATGTTCTGTGGCTGACTCATATCTACCAGCGAGACTTCTGCCCCCGTTTCTATTAGACACACAATCTCCCAATCATTTATTTACCTTCTAGCATTGACAGCACCTCTGTCTATGGTCCCTACGACATCTAGTTTAGTCAGGAAAACAGAACCCGAACCCAGACAGTTTCTTTGCCAGTACCCGGTTTTCCGTATGCGAAGCATTTACTTTGTCTGTTGATATTCATTTGAAGTGCAGTCCTCTCCTCCTGGAAGTTATCGATTTGTTTTTTCCAGTTATTTACCTCTGGTGGCTTCACCGCAGCTACTGCTGTACCCATCAGCTGTCTGGTGACCCTGGCCAGCTCAATAATACCCATGAGTTGGGGTGCGTTGACTAGTCTTATCAGCTATGCGATGGCATTCGGGACACTTTCGGTAAACTGTACCTGGCAGTTCTCATCCAAAGTCGCGAATGCTCGCAGAAGTAGTTTAGTCAACTTCACAGCCAATACCAGCGGACTTTCGTCTATTCCAACTTTCTTGCTCCAGAACTACTGCATCTCCAGCCCCCTGTTCGCTGGACTGTCAAACTCTACATCCAGTCATTCTACCATTCTCTCCCAAATCTTCTTCCCATCCACATGTTCCATGCCATCATATGCTGCTTTTGCTGGACCCCTTAGCAATGTGACAAGCACCACGACCTCCGGACACCCACCAGCTTCGTGACCGACTCGAAGTCCCTGAGGAAGACCTTGATGTCTCCATCGTTCAACACTGTATGTCACAGGTTCTTCAACACGTCCAGAGGCAGCGACACCAATTGTAAGAAAACGATAAAGGATGAGATGCAGGAGAGAATATTTATCATGACATTTTGTACAGTACTGATGAAATATTATACACTTTCTATCAAAACATTAATTTGTACAGTGTGTTTGGTTTCTTCTTCTTCTTCTATCTCATTTCGCTCTTCACACCCCCACATCATCTGTTGCGTTTCTGTGGGCGGAATATTTACCCTTCACTCGTAATTGCCTATGATTTCTGCCGCCCTCTCAACATATATTATTTACATCCATTCTTATGAGTAGCACCCGCTATATTAGAACCATCGGAAAGCTGTGAGCACTGATGGATGCTACATTTAAATAAACAAAATTCACACAAATCTCAAGCTAAATTATCGTACACTGATCAATAGTGATATACTTCGAGATGGATATTACGAAGTTCTAACGAAAAGCTGTGACTAGTGGAGACAACCAAATTGGAAGTGAAGCAGATGTCAACTGAAGACCATGATGGGTAGATATGAGATATTATGTGAATCCACAGAAATAGTAAACTGTGGACCATTGAGTTCTAGTTCAGAAGTTGAATGATCAACGTGTTCGCGGCAATATATGAAGGTCTGCAGTTTGATTCCTGATGGGTTCATGAGTGCTAGCTGCTAAGGAGTTCCAAACTATGATGAAACAGCTGTCCAGTACTCCCAGGACTTCAATGGTTTTCCAGTAGGTTTCTATCTATGATAAATACCACATATTTATGATTGTGATTATTGATACAGATCGTACCACTTTTATGTGATTCATAGTGAAATTTTATCTGTCTACATTCTACTCGGTCATCCGGTCATTTAACTACAATTGTGAATTCTATTTGACAACTAAGTTATGCATGTTCAATGGACAGTTGTGCATTCTACTGATTTTTCATATATTGAAGTAACAAAAAGTTGACTGATTTGACCATGAGATGATGAACAGAGTAAACAGTTCACATTGAATCAATTGTAAATAATTGACTATATTTAGTGTCAGGTAAACATGATAATCTATTCATGACACGTGATTTCAAACTGAACATCAGTCTTGCAGAAAAGGAAAAGGACAACCTTGAAATGTAAAGTAGTTAGTTGTGTAGTAGATCAATAAAATATGAAGTCGAATATGTGAATAAAAAGTTAAAAATTTATCACATAAATTGGTATTTTAAGCATTCGCATAGCATTAAACAAAGAATACAGTCTGAACGAGGAATACTCGTTACCAACGTATTCTCATCTGTTCTATATTATGCAGCTGTACACTTTGAAACAAGCCATATTTCAGGTGAATACATTTTCCGACACGGAATATGAATCAGTTTCTCCTTTTCGTAAATTTCTCAATATTAAGATGACATACATATACAGATGAAGAATGTGATATAGTAAAAGAAAAGACAACAAATAAGGAAGATTGAAGTAGGCTTAAGTTTATCGAAAGCCAAAGAAAGCATCTTCTTTCTCAATGTAAATTTTTTAATAAAAATCATGATTTTTTAGTATATAATTGCTTGTATTATACCGTCATTGATTGGAGTGAATTGATCGGTCTGTATTGGCATATGGACACACCTGTGCGGATGCCTCCATCATTATAATAATGGTTTTATTCTGAAAGATATTTCAGGAATACCCTACAGAATTTTCAGCATGTTATATAGCCTCAATTGAACAGAAACAGTGTAAATGTGTACCAAATAAAAAGAAATAAGTACAAATCTTACGTATAAAAGGTAAGAATATTTCATTCATGTATAACTTTTTTTGAAAATGAAGAGTTAACAACTTATGTAAAGTCACATTAGTAATTAGATTCATAGTTAATATAAGAGTAAAACTTGTGCACTGTGGTAGAATGTAATTACATTTTTATTGATTTATTACACAGTGTAACAGTATTGTTTACTGGATTACGTTTTGGACATAATTTATTGTCCATAGTTATATCAAGATGACTACACAACTTTGAGATATCCTAGTAACTATAGTCCTTTGTATAGTCCTAATTAGGACAATAAATATGGTCGGAAAGTAATCCAGTAAACAATATTGTTACATTATGTGATAAATCTAATAAATCAATAAAAAAAATCGCATTCGATTCATAATACCTAAATAACACCAAGCTGCGTAACCTTTAATTAGTTTACTTTTAGAAACAAAAGTTGGCTGGTTATTTCATTTCTAAGACTTTCTTCCTCTCACAGAATACCAGCTAAATATAGTATAGTAGAGTTTTTTACTTAGTAATACGTGCATAAGTTCTTATATACCTTCTTCTGGTCTTGCCTGAGGACCGACATGTTGAAAGCTTTGAGTGAAGAGGATGCTGGTTATCTGATAAAATAATTCCTGCAAGATGTTTACATGAGTTCATATGCTTTTCCACAATATTTTTAATTAGAAGGTTTAGAAGTATACCACAAGTTCTGCTGACAGTCTCCAAAGTTATACACGATACAGTATAGTTTTTTTTGTCAACAACCCAGGAAAGAATAAAGGAGAACAATAGAGGAGAATAGGTAAGATGCATGAATTCATAAAACACAAGGGGGGAGGCTGAGTTATACGACGTACTCTTAGCCGGTTAGTATTCTCACATTCTGAGACGAATCTGTCCAACGATCTCCTGTCTTATGTAATCTGTTCCACAGCAACAGCTAAGCTCAGATGTTCGAGCTGAAGAGCAAAGATATGGTAGGCTATCCTCTGGCCCTGGAGTCAGTAGTGATCCACAGTATATTATTCCTTGGTAAATGGACCGTTTCCTATTTAAACAGTCAATTTTATCCTCTGAAGAAGCGATTTTCTCGAAGCAGTGAAGCATCAGAAATTTATTTTGCGACCCCATCGGGATTTGGCAAATATATTTCATTTAGAACCCATTTACCCAATGCTCAACTTGTTCATCTCTATCAAGTCAAATTTCTATCCTCAAGTTTATAAAATTGTTATTATTACCACGATTACTATTATTCAGCTCAGCCAATATCAATGGCAATGCACACTTCAGTTTCGACTACGCCGGGGTTGGTGTCATAACCGTTACACAAAATAATCACAGGTTACTTTTTAGATGTCAATGCTTTTTGTCTTATTCAACACGGTTTCGTTGAAACATAAATAAATAAACATGGGGGCATCAAAGTAGAATTCAGGCACTTTTTCAATAGAAGTTAGCATCTTCACCATATAGAAACAAATAAGAACAGAGCTCTATTTCTACAACTCACAGTTTTGACTCTGATCAAAAGACCTAAGTGACTGCTAGTTAAAAGTTTACGCATACCCTCTATCTACACTTTTGTATCAAGCTTTTATTATCATCGACTAAGTCACTGAAAATGGCGGTGTTTGAATGCACAGGGAGAAAAGGTTGGTCAGGTGTCTAGCAGAACTTAATTTTCTACACATCCAACTTTTTACAGCCTGTTAGTGGAGTGAATCAATACTCTCTAGATTCCTAAGGAAACCCTGGAATTCCCTGAGATCTTTCACAACTAATCACGGTATGCAGAAGACTTACAAAAACCAAGTGATCAAATGTTTGAGAATAAGACTGCCTAAACAGGTTTTTAGAAAAATGTAGGAAATATTAACGATGGTGACAGCGCATATGTACAGCCAAGTTTTGTACGTATTTCAACTTGACAGTGAATTTCTGATCGTTTTAATGCTTCTCTCTACTTTTCGTTGCACCAAGAGACCCTTAAGTGTCAGGGTTCCGGTTTTTATTCACGAGTTCACTCTCAGTTATACTTATATATACTCTTTTCTTAAGCGACTGTGACGATAACTAACTACGGTTTGTACTTTATAAAAACCATCTTGTTAGGGGAAATGTTAAAACCTGATTGACTATTCCACCATTTGCTGGAGTGACTTTTCAAGTCTCTCACTTTTCTTACGGGCTTGATTAGGCACTGTTATTAGTTTGAGTAACTTAAACGATCATCCTAGCAAATGCTGAAATAAACAATCAGGTTGAGTCAATTTGGCTGAGACGGCAGTTTCTCACTGAATGTAGACGGAAGTTGTTATTTCAGCATTCGTTAGGGTGATCATTAAAGTGCGGTGACTTTAAAGACTACCCTAGTAACTCTTGGAATAAACCATGGGACTTCGGAATTTTGGCTAAGAGGTTAGACGTAGCTTTAAAGACCACCCTAACAACTACTGAAGCAAACAACTAGAGTTCTGTACTTTATGAAAAGAAACCTTTCCATTTGAAATAAAGTAACCTGATTGGCTGTTACTTTTGTTGCTAGGATGACGAGAAAAGCTACTAGGAAGTGTAGTTTTGCGTGACTTTAAAGGCGATGCTAGCATCTGCTGCAGCTTTCAGTACATCGATTGGGAAGGAAGTCATTTCTAAAATGAAGAAACATGATTGGTTATCTCAGCATTTACCAGGGTGAACCTGAAAGTCACTCTTAAACAAGCGATTCCAAGGTCCGCCTTATGAGCTGCTAAAATAACAATCAAGTCTTGACATTTTGGCTGACTCCCGCTTGTTTGAATGCTGATGATATATATATATATATATATATATATATATATATATATATATATGTACACTCTGCTCATGTAGTTGGTTTTCATGTCAGTCGATGAAAGGAAATACAAAACACTAACTGTATACACTGAGGTAGTTGTGCCTAAGTATAGAGAATAGCAACCCAACAAAAAGGTTCATTTTGATCGAATTTCAAAATCCATTAGGGATATTTCGGGAGTGACTTTGAAGGCCACCCCAGCAGTTGCTGACGTGACCAACCAGGCTTTGGTGTTTACACTGGAAAAGTAATTTTCCATAAAATAAAGGATTGTAATTGGCTGTCTCATCAGTTGCTAGGGTTACCCTTAAAGCCATCTATGTTTCTGAGACTAGAATAGGCTTCAACCTTACAAACATAATATATCTCTACCTTCGATCGGACTTAACTCACAGACAGATAAGACAGACAAAATCAATATAGAACCTCACACACAATTGCGTTACTTCAAGTTGCTCCACTACACAGTAGAATACAAAGAAGGAGTGGATCAAAAAGAACTGATATCAAAGTAGACAAATGTATTTGGAGGAGAGGAATTCAAAAATTAGGTAAGTCCAAACATTCAAGCTTCAGAAGACATCAAATAATGAATAAATCTGCGTCATTATCACTGATTTTTACCTGTGTCACCGAGAATACTGGTGACAGTAGAAGAATGGAAATAGATGAACAGTAGAGAATCAGAAGAACAAGGATTCATCAATCATAGTTTCCCCCATCGATTCACTACTAGAGAATCGAATTGCGCTGAAGGAGATTATTCAACACATCTAGACCGTTTATTAAAAGAAAATAACAGGAAATAGTCTGTTGGGCGTTGTCATACTAGTAGAAAGCTAATCGGTCAACTAAGATGTTCAGATTCACCAAGTAAACAGTTCTAGACTTTTACGTGAAATCCTAATGTCGATGTTAGTTGTGATTGGAAACTAATAAGCACAAATACCTTTGGTTTCATTTGATAATTGCCGATACAAACTGACATTGGTCAGCCAACTGTTGATAGCCTAAGAGCATTGAACACCTGTTTTTTCCTAGTTTTGGCGTCTAGTCAACAATGTACACCCATGAAACAGTTTCGATCGACGTCAGTGGTGAAAAATAACTTGAGATCAAAAAACCCCCAGAGAACTCCTTCTGAATCTCTATTACAACCGTAAACTAATTCTACTACTGGCAAAAATGGCGTCCAGATGTACATGAGAATGACCAGTTACCAATTAATATATCTGCTCCAGTCCTACAAGACGTCAGTGACGATCCGAATAGCTTAGTGGTAACTTCATTGACTGCAGCACTGCGTGGCGTGAGTTCTAACCTTAAAGGCGACATAGGTCACTTCAGGGTTGCAAATACGCCACTACAGTGACTGCCAGCAAGCAGGCTACTACCCGTTTGCTTCAGATGAAGAGATTAGAGTGTGGAATGAATCTATTTTTGGCTGTTCGACAGCAAACTTACCAAGCAAATCAGCCACATGCACACATATGTTTTACTGAATCAATGATAGCATTCGCCAACGGATTCTAATGTGATATTTAATATCGTTAAGCAGAGCTGCTAATTTATTTATGTAAACTAATCATTGAACGATGAATGACACCATGATCATGATCCTAGATGAAATATACTACTGAACAACAAAAGTAGTTAGGAATCATTAACACTGAGCCGTATATTTCGTTAGCCAGAGATCAAAGATTTCCTGTCACCATTCTGCTGTTTCTCTCATTCGAGGAACAGCTCATCGGAGGTGTAACTAGACAAATTAGAATTACACAGCCATCTAGGAATCGTCCTTACACAAACATGACAGATGCAGAGGCCAATCACTAATTCTTCACACTAGTGCAATGGTCACGAATGCGAGACCAAGAATGAAGACAATCGAGTAACCAGGTGAGAATGGTACATTCGATAAACCATGTCAAAATCTTGATGCTCCGATCAACCGGCTAGAAGATTCCATATAGGCAAGACAACGTAACATGCCAAAGCGCCAAATCACGTGAATGCTTGAGCTTATGCCTTCAGCCTAGTCAAGGTCAACATCAATGTTGAATTTCTTCAAACCCTAGGCTATTGATTTTGATGGATAATTGGCCGCTACAGTCAAACAATTTAGAAAAGCTTCAGTGGTTTCTAACACCCCACGTTGTCCAGAAGTATATCTCATTGGTCAATGACACGTCCATATCTGAGATGACACTGTGATTTCAGTCGGGTTGTTCACAATGATATCCTGGTTGATACCATATTTAGACGGCTGAAAAACTAGTCATTTGTGCAAAATGTCAACATGGACCTTGACATTTGTCAATAAGTTGCGAAACTATCCTCAATGCCACATCAATTAAGCTGTTTGGTGTGACGAATAGAATATCTAATGTGATAAGTATTAATTAAAGCGACCGAGAAGATCTTGACAACAACTAAAGTGTATACTAATGTGAAATCAATTAGAAAACCGGCTTATAACTCATTCCGCCCACTACTGAGACCTGAAGCATAACAGAAATCACCTTCCAGTAAATGCTATGCAAATTCTACTTATGAATACAATTAGAAACATGGTTCATATGTATTTGACAAAAAACGAAACAGTCATAACCAATTAGTTTCAAGGTTGAAACTACTCAGTACTCACCTATAACTAGGAACAGAAAATATACCCCAATGAATAAATATCCCAATTTTCGCTTCATCATACCATTTAGGCAGTGGACGTTTATCCAGTGAATCCCAATTCGGTTCATATTTAGTATTCTTATCTTCTGATATCAATTTGACACAGCTGATCGATTGAATTACATAAAAAAACAACAGAAAGGTGAGGTAGTGCGAAATTGACATTGCGAGACCAATTGATATACTAAAGTGTATTATTTTTCACTGAAACTGATATTTATTTGGTGTGATTAAAAATGGACCAATTGACCAATAAAATCCTTTAACATTTTCCATTGTTTAGATTCGAGTATCAGAATGACCTTAAAGATGGTCACAAAATGCGTACATGAAAGTATCTAAAACATTATGACGGAAACGATACGAATTTGTTCATATAATGTGCACAACGTCTCTAAATCGTTATTTATTCAGATATACGAAAAGAAAAAACTTCACAGAATAACAAACTATGTTCAGTGTAACGCAACTATGTAGTAAGTTGAAGATACATGTTAACTACAATTCATAAAAGTGTAATTCTAAGTAAGATGAACTAGTGAGACCTAGAAACGTAACAAACATGAAACTACCCATTAGAAAAATAAATAACGTATTGACTGAGAGAACTAAATTGTTCGTTGACTTCACTCTGAAGGAAATCTTTAAAATTCGTTCTAAATGATAAAGGCACTGAGTTCATCCTGTCAATTATCCCTTGAAGTATACTGATGATGACTTGACTTTGAATGTCTGCAAGTGAATAGAGCGTCTACCAGAATAAAACTCAGGTTTATGGTCTCCTGCCAACCTCCTGTCAACACGTTGACTAAAATCTAAGCACAAAGGCACTGACTGTTCACCGTTTCGTAGTGAATCTGAATGAAACCACCTTTGAAGAATAGCTTAAACTGATAAAATATTCTGATCCGATGCTACACAAAACATCAGTTTTCATTGGTCTGTGTACAAAGAATTGTCTATAATTTCTCGACTTGTAACAGACGTTAACTATGAGTTGCTATCGAAAGACTAACGCTTCAGCAACTATTTCCCAGTTATTAGGCTGGTTTTCAGTGTTGCCCTGCAATAACCGATTCTTGTTCTGTTAGAAAATGGAATGCATTTTTTGAAGGCTTACTATTGTTAAACATAGATTAGCTGGAAAAGCCAGATGAAGAATGTAGCCTATACGGGCAAGCGTGCACAATGTTGACTCACTGTTCCCATAGTTACATGTGCATGTTACCTAAAGATTTTCAATTTTGATAATTTCTTTAATTCGGCTAAGTGCAGGCCCTTCCTACTCATCTACAGGAACTGTTATAACAGCCAAAAAGTGGAAAAAATGAATCAGAGATAAGTATTGTATGCCGGCTTATTTTTCGAATTTTTTTGTGACATATTTGGTCACACGATTGCATAGATCGGGTCATGAACATATCATTGACCTCTAATTCCGTTTTGCGTGATTTACAGTTGGGAAGTAATTGCCTCCTCAATGAAATCAATAAAGTATTGTGCACTGTCTCGTGTTCTATGCATAAGTGGAATAAGTTGCTCCATTCTTATGAATTTTAACGTGTAGTGTACAGGAAATGAATTCACTTGCCCATAGACACGAATGACTCAGGCTGTCACAGCCAGATGTGGGGACATTTAGCAGAAGACCACATCATGAGCTGTTAAGGTTGTAGGGGTGCGACGAAATACACCACATATCGTGCTAGTGGATCGAGCATACGATAAAAAAAGCGTATATCAGATTAATGAAAAGTGAAAAGAGATAGTTGGTAGTGAATTGGCTCGACAGGCTGAAACACATGCCTATAGAAATACTTTCCTTGCAGACAGTTCTAAACCAGTGAAATTCTCTATCAAAGCATATGATACATGCACCATGTTTTGAAACCTTCAAAGTGAAATTGGATATCCAAAGTACTACCAGCAAAGATTAATACAGGTTATTGAACTGATGTCCGTATTCCTGAAATAGCCGTGTCAATAACCTAACCGGCTCCACAGCCATTACTATTCTACCAAACAATATGCTCACTGACTCAGTAGGAATTGAGCAAGAAACTGATGCCTCGTGTCTCCGATTGTGTTCGGTATTTTACACGTATGATAGAAGCAGGTTCATGTAAAGAGCAGACAGACGTCTATCTACCCCCATTTTTGGGCATTTTCCTAAGCATTTGGGACAAAAGTGTCTTCGTTATTCTACCGGTCTAGCAGTAGACAGTTTTATAGACACACGGTGTAAAATTATTATGCATAAAGCCTTCAATAACACTGTGGATTACCAAAGACTTGGCCGAAAGATGAATGAAGATGTTCTGGCAGTGAATCTCTTACTAACTAGGTAAAAAATCTCACTGCCCCCTGCAAATCTTACACCTTAAGTAGGGATTTCCAAATTTCTCTAGTTGTATCGAATTTCAGCTGATCATTTTTATCTCTTTTGACGAAAGGTGTTCTTCAAGCAACTGTCGTTGTTATCAAATTCGCTTCTCTCGACCACTTATCCATACTATATACATAGCTCTCCATAAAACTAAGTGTTCATGGCAGAAGAGGTATAAATATCATCAATTCATAGGCAGTTAGTAGCTGATTTAGTCTTTGAGCCCAAGGTGGTGTACCACTTGGTGTAGTTTCTGAATTCAGCATTCTAATAATGATCCATACTGTGATTTTTCAGATACTTTGACACATATTTGTAAACCGAGTGAACACTGACAACTTTCAGAAATGTAATTCTAATCCAGGATCATGTATTCCGAATCATTCAGATGAAAGACATCTGATATAAATGAATACATTACTTCACCAGTGAATCTTTTATCACCGATTTAAACAACAACTCAAGATGGTTGGTTTTGCTTTTCAATTTTCTCTTCAGAATTAACACTACTTAATTGCTGTTTAAGTAGGTAAAACATGTGCTAGAGTATGAAATGAAGATCATGGGAAGGGAGCGGAATACTGAATCCGTCGGCTCAATACATTACTAACTTAATATCAACTTTTGTTTACCCTAGCCATTTCAAAACTGGGATACATTGATGTGTTCCATATGATACTGTTTCAATTAACTTCAATAAACTGCCAGGTTGACTACGTGCTTGAGCTTGAAGTTTGAAAGGTGGGTAAAAAGATTCTCTTAGCTACCTGAAACTGCTTGAGGAAGTACCACATTTGGCGGTGTGTTGTTGAGCAGTATTCAGGGAAGATGTTAAAAAACTCGTATGACTACAGATGGATATATGGTGGACTATAAGTATGCTGCTACTGTTCAGTAGAATGGAGACGCAAAATTATAATAGGTAAGGGGTGGATACGAGCTCGCTAAAACAAGCCTCAAGAGACTATGAGTATCCAGTGATGCCCTATCAAAACTTTTCATTCCTTGTGTTACTTCTTCTACACCTAACTGTTTTTGTCGCTGAGTGGATGTACTACAGAATGCCCTCCAGATAGAAGAATTTCAAACTTCAGTTTACAGGTTCGTGACGGCTGGCCGATTGATTGGTCATCTCTACTTCATGACGTCAGCAGTACACTCTGTTGCTTCTAGTCGCATGAAGATAATCACAGAACTGGCGATATTTTGTCTGGGCAGTTCTTTTAATTTTCGCGCCTTGGTTTCAATCCTAATTGGATTCTGTATATTATTCAGAATCTGTGTTCCGTTATATTCAGTGTTGACTGGATGAACACAGATTGCCTAATTATTCTCTCATTCCAGACGCTTAAGGAATAGACAGGAAGTGACAAAACTTTACAAACCAGATAGTCAGAGTTGTGCGATCATCTCAATGTGATTAAGAGCAATAAATGGCGCTGGAAGTGTCTGCTGGTGAAGACGATGGTGTTTCACTTCATGCTTCATCAAAAAACAAAAATGGGTGTGATATGCACGAAGAAAATATATTCGTGAAATCCCAATAAAACAGCGAAACGAATACTTGAGGTCTCGTGACGTCGTGTAGTCACACTTGACTATACTTTCATAATTCCCCTGATACGTTCAGTGTTCTGATTTCGACTAGTGGACTGCATAGAGTTGTTTCACCACAGAGATACTTCGTAACATGTGATTTGATTACACATCCTTAAACATTCGGTCTAGCATGAGTATAAACAATTTAGATGAGTAATGCTGGAAACTGAACTCAGTCGTCTTCGTCTACATTTTAGGATTTGTCTTGCTGCGAACTTGACAGACGCAAAGACCAATCACTAATTATTCGAACTTGTTATATACCCAAGGTGGAACACGATAGCGTAGTCTGATGGAATAGTATATTTGGATGGTTGTGCCAAAATACCGATGCGTTCCAACTAACTGGCTAGATAGTCGAATACGAGCAGTGCAACGTAACACGACAGCGTGCCAAATGGCGAGGATGCTTGATAGGGTGCCTTCAGCTTAGCGAGTCCAGTTAAACTATCAAGGTCAGCATAAATGTCGATAGTCGTCGAACCCTAGGCTATTGATTTTGGGGAAGTGTGTAACGCTTCAACATCATGAAGTAATTTTAGATATAAGGTTGTCTGGCTTACTGAAAGTCAGCCAAAATTCAAGCTGATTGCAATCAACTCGATCACGTGACGATTTTGATCTTTCATTTATGGAAGTGAACTTAAGAAAGTCGAGTGATTAAGAGGCTACAACACAGTATTACCGAAGTCTTAATCTTCATTCATCTACAACGTGATTTCATTGAAAGGGATCAAGGTGTCATCACTTCTAATCTAAGATATTTTACTCCATACAATATATAGAGCATTGCTTCAACTTGCTGGCGATAACAATATGTGCAGAATACCAAGATTAAGAAGACACGATAATCTTGAAGAGGTGGCTGAGCTAAGTTTTGCATGGACACCATTCCAATCCACTTCGACCAACTTTTTTTTAGCACATAAACCTTTCCAGTTATAAAATATATGAATTGGTGTTTGAAGATGATTCATGATCAGCATGGAGTTAACCAATTATACACATACAATTTGGCAGTGATCATGACAATCTTTTCTGGGTACTTGTTGCTGCGTTGGAGAGTTGAGATAGACTGGTTTAGATTGGATTAAGTTAAAATTAACTAAATAAATCTCTAGCTTGCCTCTGGATGCATACGGCGTTTTAAGTTTCGTTTTAACGAGCATGCATCCGAGCAGGCTTGGACGCCATTTTGAGCTCCATTGTGCTGATTACCACGCACGTACTCCGAGTCCCTAGTTCGGCCTTACAAGCCAGATAAGTTGATTAAACTTTTCCCTCATTCATTATTATCACATTTACCTTAGTTGAATACATAGCTCTTTCAAATGCATTGTGTATCAGTTCTTTTGATTTGTGTTTTGTTATCAGTACTTACACGTTAGGTAAAGTACTGGTTAAGCAGGTACCAGGGCACATCAAGTTAAGTAGGGTTGATCAAACGTTACGGAATTGTAACATGCACCCCCACAGATGGAACAATTGCTCGATGATTTACATGGAACAGCTTTACTGGCTATACGTTGATTTTATTGGTAGTATTTCAAATGTTTCCACCAGATGTGATGGTTCCACCACTAGCTTAGATATTTTAGAAGAGTTATTCGTGCCAACATTTAGAATAAATCAAACGCTTCTCTGTGGATTTGGCTTATTCATTAGACTATAGAGTAAGACTTGTCGATAACATGAAACACGTTGTTTTTGATAGGAATATCACGATGTATCAAGAAAATACAAACGGCGGCTGAAAGCGATGGAGGGGAGCTATGTGGATAACCCATCAGCAGTACTACCAACACTGACGACAAACAATACTTCGTCATTATCTGTATCTTCATTACTGCCTCCATCGTTCGTATAGATGAACAACTTAATTAACGAAGTAGTCCTAATTGTCCCTGGGATGCAATAGGGAAGAGTCTGGATTTACCGATCAGGGCATGTCACCTCATACATTTAAGGGACCTATTATACTGAGCGTTGTCGGACATAGTTGTGCTTCGCTCTGCATGTTGAGGAGTTTGCCGGAGGATAGAAATCTTTCCAACACACGGCTTAACTGGGTAGTTGAGCTTGAAGCCTTGATGTCAGCAGGAACGTGGCTCCACATTTTCGCGCATTTGACAAGGAAGACGTTAGCTCGGAGGGATGTCCTGAAAGGTTTTATTTCAACACCGCAGGCTTAGTTGCGGAGACTGTAACAATCTTCTGGTGTGAAATGGACCTCCTCACCAGCTGTAAAGGATATTTTGCGTAAAATCTTGAGGAAAAATATAAGGTTAGTCTTAAGACGTCTCATTCAAAGTGGTTGCAGATTAAGGGACGCACTGTCGAGATGCGTACCCCTGACCACATTCGTAACCAAGTAGGCTGGATGTGAAGTGCCTCTGCACACTCAATCCTAAGTTTGTCGTCTATATAAACGCTCCCTAAAATAAACGAACAGTATCCCAACAGAGGTCGGACGCAAGTTTTGTATAGCGATAATTTGGCTTTGTGGTTATGGAATTACAAATTGTACAACCTTGAGCAGGGAGCCGCTACAAAATATTAACGATACAAGTTGATAGGATAAAAGGCAAGAAACTATTCACTATTATCACTAAGGGATTCTGGTAAAGCTTTTCTTGTAGTAGACCGAGGGACCCTGATTTGACATAAATAGTGCAGTGTAACAGTCACCTGTCGTTCTTCCGCACAGTTCCATCAGTGGGGACTTTGTGTAATTACTTTAAGCGGGCCGAGGAAATTCCGACACAGGATTTAGTGCTCCAAACAGCGAATCAATTGGTTGTCAACACGCTCAGGACTAGATTTTAACTAGAATTCTGTGTTTATACAGGAGTTTGCTGGGAAATTATCGCTACTGACATCTCGATTTCAATCTTCAACTCAAATGGCTGCTAGCCGAATTCAGTCGCAGACAGTGGCTTTTCCTAAACTTCGGCTGTCTGTGTCGCACATCATGCACGGACAAATAGGTGCCCTGACCCCAGAACTCTTTTTGAAGCCTCACAAGAGCAACACACGACCTCACTCCGAGGTCTACAACACCGCTGCATCACCTTATCTGAAAAGGGATGTGAACCTTCCAGAGAAAGTCCAAAGGAGAGCTACAAAATGTGCCTTGGGAATGAGGCGAAAACCCTATGAGGACGGGATGAGAGACCTAGGACTCTACTCTCTAAGCTACCGTAGATTGCGTGATGACTTGACAACGGCTTACAAAATGCCAGTGACCCAAGTTATCCGGACAGTGGAATCCTACCTAACGGCCACTATGGCGATCCTCGTGGTAACCCAAGGAGAATCGCCCACCAAAGGGCGAAAACCCATATGCGTTCACACTTCTCTCTGGGAGTTTGTGGCCATCGAAATACATTGCTTGTTGAGATTGCCACTGTTCCGTCTGTTGACAGCTTCAAGAGGAGGTTGGACAGTTAGGCAACGACCCACAGCATACGCTCATCCAGCTTGGATATGGACTAGGCTGACATGATCTACTAACTCATTACGGCAGACTCATTATCAAATACGTTGCAACATCACTATCACTGCGAATTTGGCTCAACCTTATACTTCCCTATAGACGTCCCCTCCAGTTACCGTCTCCTACTGGCAAAATTACTATCGCTATTCATCCTGTATAAAACATGTGTCCGACCACTGCTCGAATATTGTTCATTTATCTATAGCAGTATACGGGTTACGGATAGACCGAAAGTCAAAGGAGTGCACAGCAACTTTACTGTGAGAATACTCAACACGAACAAGGACGTAAAGTACGCCACCAGGTGCAAGATCCTAAGACTTGAACCACTATGGAAACGAAGGCTCAGACTGAATCTAATACCGTTTTATGAGCTCCTTAACAGGCCAACTTAAAGCACATGCACAGGAATGTGGTTCATAAACAAAACTGCAAATGGATTAAGAAAAGTAGCTGCAACAGCAACAATTGAGCACTTCAAAACGGTCACTAGGGGGAACTTCCTGTGATAAAACATGCTCAGATATGGAACGGTTTACCCAGAGAATTACGAGAATCAAACACTGACTAGACTGCTTAACTCTACACCACAGGATAGTGCCACATAAAGAACACCACTAACACTGCTGCTAAAACTGCAGACGTGTTCGGATCCCTGAATATATGAACAATTTCCAACCTCAAAGGTGCAGAGGCTGCACCTGTTTTTTTGTTTTTCTACCAAAATTTCAGATGTTTGTAACATGGAGACTATGAAGAAACTGGACTAAGATGGAAACTCACCGAATCATCCGGAAACCTGAATGCTAGACGAACAAAGTACTTAACTCGAAACCTCAAAGGCCTCATCATCAAGATAACCTTCAACAATGACAACAGGACACAAATGAGGAATCCGCCTTACTGACTGTCAACATTCCACTTTTTCGGAGCAATGAAACTATGCTTCCACGAAAATCGCTGTCCAGTAAGTGAGAGTTACCAATCCCACTCACTCACTTGACCCCCTCACTATATGAACACTTATGAATCCAGGAGTTACTCAAATTTCTGGACAGTCATAATGGCAACGAAAATCTAGACAGGCGGTAATCTCCTGGGGATCAATTCACCTATCAAGTTTAAAGTGAACATATTCACGACAATGCAACAGACTTGTAGCGCTACACACTCCTCCAGAATCAATTGCCCAGGGTTTGACGAGGCCCAACATGGATGCTGACCTTGATAGTTTAACTGGACTGGCTAGGCTGAAGGCACCCGGCCAAGCATCCTTGCCATTTGCACACTGTTAAGTTACGTTGCACTGCTCGTAATCGGCCCTCCAGACAGTTAGTTAGAACGCATCGGTATCCCGGCAAGACCTGGCAAATATACTATTCCGTCTGACTACGCTGTCGTGTTCTTTCTTGGTCTCGTATTCGTGGGTATATAACAAGTCTGAATAATTAGCGATTGGTCCCCGCGTCTGTCAAATATGCACCAGGACAATTCTTAAAGACTTCTCCGGTACTTCATCGAGCGGTGAATATGCTTTCTTGACAATGCTGCATGACTTTACGTGAAGAGTGTGGAAGACGCCTCCTCCTTGGTCCGCAGTTTTTTCAAACGTTTGTTCTTTTGCATCACAATGTCTAATTATGATGGCGTAAATCTTTATCGCTTTGAATGAAAAGGCTTGAATGGATATTCACTTGGATTGCATGATTAGGTTGAAACTTACAGATTCTCGAAGTCGTCATCATGGGTTTTTTGGTACCGAATTCATAAGTATAAGAACTTACGGTAAAATAAAAGTTTATCTAACGTAACGGGGCATTGCGAAGATGAACCAAATATGTTGGCTGCTTACAACGGGAATCTAGAATTCTGTGCAACCTTGATGCCAATAATGGTATAAAATTAAGTATGACTGAAAACGACCTAAACTTTACCACTCATATTTGCCGAAAAGTAGTATTTTCTCGTCCATTCCATAACTTGCTTATTCTTCTGCCTTCGTATCATTCAGGTTCCGTAAAATATTGTAGGTTTTTCAACATATGCCAATGTGATGATGCCTGTAAAGTGGCTACTCTCATTTAAAATTGCTAATTTGTGAATGAAATGTTTATCTATTTACTTGTACACCTATAAGTCATCCTATAACGTTGTTTTCTCCTTCTGTCCCTACTGACTCTACTTTCTCACACTTCAGTAAAAGCTCTCTTTATCACTCCTCTCCTACGAGTCTAGGGACGCTTCCTCTCCCGTACCATTTTATTTTTCTTAATCGTTTTTTCTATTGTTATGTTTCTTTTCCCTTTTCATCCTTGATTTCTCTGGACATATTCCCCATCTCCTTTTTACAACCAGTCCGGTGAATTGTCTGCTAGCACGATACTTGAGTAACCCATCTGCACCACAGTGTTTGGAAAAAGAAACAACGAATACTCCCTACAAATTTAATCAACACTCAACAGCCCGTCGGGCTAAACAAGAGCTACAGCATTCGAGTGGGTAGACCTGTTGCATCGGAATTCATCAAAGACCTGGAACCGTTCCGCAGGGCCTATAAGTGAGAGTGAATAGATCCATTGGTTTACACTAGCTCGTTATAAGATATTGGATATTGGATGCGATTCTTGTTTAATCCTATCAAGTATTTTGTAGCGGCTCTCTGCTCAAGGTTAGGATGTTGATTCTCCTGCTCTTCCTAAACTTTGTCTCATCGGAAGTCACTAGGTAGGTAGTTTTTATAAATAAAACTAAAAGGAACTAAGGGTTCATCTTCATCCATTTAAGTCCGTTCAGCGCAGTCTTATCGAATTTCAAACGTCTCTTGAAGCTGTTAAAAAATTATGGATCTCAAGGCTCTCAGGCAATGCTACTTCGGAGCCTGAATATCTGAAGAACTACCTAGATGTAAGATATAGTTTCACCTAACTTTCATGTTTGTAGGCTCAGTATTATGGGGATATAACTATTGGGACTCCACCGCAAACGTTCAGTGTTGTTTTCGATACCGGTTCATCCAATCTTTGGGTTCCATCCAAACACTGCAGCTACTTAGATGTCGCCTGTTTACTTCACAGGAAATACGACAGTTCAAAGTCGTCCACTTACACCGTGAATGGCACCACGTTTAGTATCAGATATGGGAAAGGTAGTCTAAGTGGATTCCTAAGCAATGACCTCGTGCAGGTTGGTCGTGAGACATTTTATTTTTTTAATCAACTAGGTCGGTTCACTCAAAGTGAAAGGACAGACGTTTGGAGAAGCCACACAGCAACCTGGAATAGTTTTCATCATGGCAAAGTTTGATGGGATTCTTGGCATGGCCTACCCTTCGATATCTGTGGAAGGTGTTACTCCAGTATTTGTAAATATGATTCGTCAAAATCTTGTTGACTCTCCAGTATTCTCATTTTATATCAGCAGGTAATGTGGTGTTTTGCGGTGTCCGAGTGATTACCTTTCTTTTCCTACTGATTTCCCAGTGCCCTCCCATTCTTTAATACAATCTTTGAGCAAACGTGATAGTTTAAAAGACTTAAGCTGTCCTGATAACTCTTTACGGTCAAGCGTCTTCACTCGGCACACTTTCGACTGTTTTTTGGTGGAATTCGGTTCTACCTCAGAAATGCCCAATGTCCTTCATACTGTTAATGCACTGGTAAATGTACCTAGAAAAAATAATCTAGAGGATTTGAACTTACTGCGTCTTGATAGTATCGCTTTGATATATGAGGCCTAGGCATACTGTGCAGGATATGAGCAATATATGACCAGGGCGATCATGTAGTTCGTAATCCTTGCCCACACACTCGCCAAGTGCATTTCGGATGACAGGAAAGATAAATCCTATCAGAAGCTGTCGATTTTGTTGAATGAAGCAGAATGTTCAAACATAGTCATGATACCAATCGAGTTCAACGCTCAAGTAAAAAAGCTGAGTCAGTCAGAAGAGAATGTTGGAGGCATCCACGGTATTCCATGCCAAAAAGCTGACGACGGTGATCGTCTCTCACAATTTTATTCTGAAATTCACTTGTTTCTGACCAGCACTAGCTTCAGGCATAGGGAGATACACTGTCGCATGTCATCCGCCGACTTCAAGCCAACAATGGACACATGGATCGTACAGCCATAAACCATCGTTGAAGAGTATCGGTGAAGGATTATTGATCCTTCTAGACTACTTGTTTGGACTCCGACCACGCATCATTACGGACACATGCATGTCTGCGCCTTACTGGTCTCATGAAACAGGCGGTAGTAAAACCTGTGCGTGCTCTATTGTAAAGTAAGGATGCGAAGTATATTTTTGGGGATGAGATAGCCAGGCGTTTATGTGGACGTAACAGCAGCACTCCCCTTGAGAAAACTTAGCGTGACATAAATTCTGCTGTAGAATCAGTGGTAAAGACAGTGGTTGGCCTACACCCGAAGGTTAAAAAATGCCATCGAATTTCTGCAACGTCATCCAGGCTGATTGATGCGTGAAGACCGATTGCAGTTGGCTCATACCACGATGGAAAGCCAGAAAGTTGGGGATAGACTTCAGCACTAGCCAATTCTCTGCAACTATTTAGGTCTGTTGATGAAACCAGAACGAGGAAAACGACGGTTGGTAAGGCCGTCACCGAAAAGGATGGTCCTCTGGTTACTTCCCAATATAGGCGATCAGTACGTTTGGCAGAATACTCTGTAGCACAGTGTGACTGTCCTGCAGCAACGCTTCAGTTGTCCAACATCGACCTTGAACGTGAATGCTATGCAGATGTTGGTCTCCCATCTCTCCTCGATGTTTGTAGTACAGTTTGAAACTTCCGAGGATGCAAATTGATAGAATTTCGTATTTTACTGTTAGTGGGTTTTGTAGATGGAAGTAGTAAGTTAATGGTTAGATTAACGAAGGTACCAAGTAGGGATTGGGAATCAGAGGCATTCCTGTTACGCTAGTGTAGACCTCTGAACATTTCAGTTTACAGGAAGGGGTAAATTCAGGATTCCTGGGTCCAGAGTCATTCGACGCTTAACTAGAGCTCGGGAAAATCAGGCAGGTATCAAACCTTCACGGTGTACCCCAGATCTAAACGCTTCTACTATTTCTGAAACAACAGGTACATTCGCCGGTGACCAACACTTGTTATGCTTCTTGACCTGAATTGGCGGCATTTGATTCAGTCGACTGTGAGGTGTTATGGTAATGTTTGACTGTAAAGGAAATACCGAGCAAGTATACAATGCTTATCGAAACCCTACCCGAACTCCTGCATCAACTTAAGGGCTTATTGAGAGTTGTCATGTAGATTGACGACAACTAGTGTTCGGCAGGGATGCAGTCACTGTTCCTATTTAGTTTTGTTGTAGGGGTACGACTGGATATAACTTTAGGTATGTTTAAATACACAGAAACTAGTTTATTGCCTTGTGGTCATCTAGTTGACTTGGAGTACTCAGACAGCATTGTCCTGCTGGATGAAGATGCTGACGAAATGCAGGGTCTTCTGAATATGTTTTTAGCGGAAATCTGTATGTGTTGGGCATGCCTTTCGCACCTGCCAGGTGTATGATGATGCTCCAGGACTGGTCTATAACTACTCCCAGCTTAAGGATAGGGAGTGAATTGGTGGGATGTGTTGACCACTTTACTTACGTGGGGAGTTGCACCAGATCACGTGGCCCGGTCTCTGACGAAATCTCACCTAGGCTATAGAAGGTCCACTTGACATTTGCCAACTTGCATCACCTGCAGCCCCGGCGAGTTATCCAGTTATTTATCAAAGGACGGGTAGACTACTTTGCAGTCCGTTCTGTCTTGTTGTACGGCTGAGGTGTGTCCGTTAGGACTAGACATAGAACATAAAACGATTGCACGGTTTTGATCATAATTGTCTTCGTATCATTTCTCGCATATAGTGGGATCACCGTATGAGCAATGTTGAGGTCAGGCGAAGAATACTAAGCAAGAAAGATAAGTTGATTGATGAGTTTGTGAATCCTAGTGGATTGAGTTGGCTTGGACATGTACGGCGCAAGCCGAGTCACCGCTTACCTCGACGCAGCATGCTAGGGGGAGTTGTGTTAGGTTCGGCTGGAAGAGGGCTCAAGGTGGTCAACCGAAGACTTAGTACTAGTCGATGAAGTCTATTTCTGTTGACCTGAAACGTGTGGGGAGATGTAAACTGCCTGATTGGGGTCCTCAAGACGAAAGCAATCAGTGGTTGAGGACTCTTGGTGACAAGGCTGAAAACTGGTCACAATGATCCAGATGTATTCACTCTTTTGGCATTTTCTAAAGCTTGAATATTCACACTAACCTTTATCTTCAGATTGTTTATTAGCCCGCACTGCTCTGTCGCTCTTTTTTTATCCATCTGTTCTTTGTATACTACTGATAAGTGTGGCAACATGAACCGATGCATTGATGTGCGATTTTCTACGTTGATTTTGTTAGTCAGTCAGTTTAGGCAAAAGTGGTAAGCCGTTGATGACGTTCTAAAACCTTCATTGACTTAGATGGCTGGGACGTGTATTACGCGTATCAAGTCACCTTCTTCCCAGCCGCGCAATGTTACCTGAAGTACGTTTTGGTTAGAGAGATGTTAGAAATGCCCAAACTAAAACATGGGATCAGTTCATAAAGTGGGGTTGTGGTTTATTGGTTCAGCTAGTCAACTCTCAACTGAGTCACAGGTTTGAACATCGTCCCACCTACCGAGGTTTGGATGGACAGTTAGCACCATTAGCCTTCACACAGCCGGTGGGGTTCGTCTCCCACTGCACGAATGTGCACAAGGTTGCTGAGTGCATTTCATTTCCAGAATTTTGACTCGGTTATTGTTCTGAGCTGTACAAAGAAATGTAGACTTTCCAGCTGTGGTTCGCGTACTATCCGAAATCACTTTCTGAAGACTAGGCGATATAGCTCAGAGTCGATCTCACGGCTGCAGATGCATCCACACATTATCTTCACAATAATCGTCATGCCAAATGGCATCATTGTTTGATTCCCCTTTTTTTCATGACTTCTATTTTGACAACCTTTTACCTCATGTCTCTTTCATCTTAATGTCTTTTGCTTCTATTTGCTGACATAAGATTTTCCAACGCAGCACACTGAATAACTGAGAGCTCAATAACTTTGATGTGGTCATTTCACGATTTTACGCTGGTTCCAGGTTATCGATATGATTCACTTTGAAATATATAAAATTTGTTGGTCGATGCTTTCGAAACAGAAAAATCTATAGGCAACCTTAATAAAAGCTGAAATGACCATTCTATTTCCTTTAATTCGATTGGAAAGGTAGTTTTTATAGGACAAAAAAACTTAGTTGGTTATTTCAGCAATTGCTATCGTAGCTTTTAGGATCTTCCTTCGAAATAATAGGGTTACTCATTTATATACGCTGCACTCCGGGATAGGAATTCTATGCTTGTGGACTGGCTATGTTTGGTTTAGTTAAGCAACTTACGACCATTGTTTTTAAATTTTCATAGTATATTTTTTATTTTTTGGACTAGACCCGCCTGAAAAGCATATAGGTGGTACTTATGTCATTTGAGTAATTTACTCAAAATGTCAGAGGTGTTCTCTAGAGTTTATTGTTTTTAGTCAGCAAGAGGAATAAAGAAAGTTTGGCTAATAGCTGACAGGTATTGATAAATAGGGAATTATTGCAGTAACTAAGAGTGTAGTAGTCTTTTTTTAATTCCCGTCTGAAGCAACATTCTTTCTTTTAAAACCTTATATTTTTGTATGTTTAGGAATGCATCAGCTCCAGTTGGTGGTGAACTAATGATTGGTGGTATAGATGAAAAGTATTATACTGGTGAAATCAACTATGTACAGCTGAAAGAAAAGTCTTATTGGTTGTTTGAAATGGACAAGTGAGCTACTGGTGTTTAGTGGGCTTGGTCTTTTTAATGATCATTTTAACTTGTCTGTAATACAAGTATTGGTAGTAGTTTCATTTTCTGATTATTTGACTCCAGTTGATTATTAAAAAAAGTATTCGGAGATACATTGAAGATACTCTTTGTAAAGGACAAAGCAGTAGAATAAATTGACTTCTATAGGATGTATCTGGCTGATATGCAGTGTAAATATCCTTATTTGGGTTGGCAGTAGTAGCTACCTAGATCAGTAGCTCACTAACATAGCATGCTTTTATTGTGTAGGTGACAGGTTACAACGCCTCTGCATTTATCATGGTTTAGATACCTCTCGCAATAGGTTCGGTGTATAGCCTGTTGTACTAATCTATATAACTGTTGAGTTACATTTTGTTTTTGTTCTATGGTAAGCTTAGTAAATTCAAAGACGTCTAGTTGTGAATAATTAACTTTTAATTCAACTCAACAAACATTTAGGTTCATGTGGTAGAATGTAAGGTACGTTTACCGTGGGACAAGCAGTGGCGCTAACTAGCTAGTGAAATATCGTTAGGTAGAGGGAAATTTGAATCCGTCTTGAAGATAATCTTTGATTAGCAGGAAAGTATGCCCCAGCTTTAATTCGGAGTTCATAAATAGTCGATGGGTTCCATTGCTCCAAAATTTGATCCTGTCGATATCTGCTATCTTACATAGTATACATTTTATAAACCTGAAACTGTTTTGATGAATGAACATTGGTATAATGCTGCTAGCTGCATGTAAATGTCTTATCACAGACTGCCTGAGAAAAACATTACCTTTAGAGCTTGTAGTCGAATGACCTCGAGCGTGAAAGCATTTGTACGACTTAGCACTTTGAATGTGTATTTCACAGAAAATTGTTAAAGCGGTAATCCTTCAAGTCCAACTCATTATTTACAATGTCTAATAGTGTGGCAGAATGCATGACACATACATCCTGTCAAAAGTGGAGATAATATCCATCGGGATAAGCTAGAGACTAGACTCATTAGATGCGAATAAAGTGTCAAAATAGCACTGTTGAACTTCAGTTTTACACCTTTAGAAGTTAGAAAGTGACTATTGTTGTTAATTGTCTGTGATAAAATTATTTTCCAAGTTTAACAAAGAATTTCCAAGAAAAAATTATTGACTCATATTTAAATATATGTAAGGATTACCAACAAACGTTTTAAAAATTCTCCTTTACATAGGCTTGTAGTTTCAGATAAAGTAATATGTCCAGATGGGTGTTCAGCCATCGCAGATACTGGTACTTCAATGATCGCTGGTCCAACGAATGATGTGGACGAAATCAATAAGAAACTTGGCGCAATGTATATTCCTGGTGGCATGTATACTATTTCATGTGATCGGATAAGCAGTCTTCCGAGTATTCACTTTGTAATAAACGGAATAAATATGACATTGGATTCAACAGACTACATAATGAAGGTACTATTTCCTGTTTTTCGTGATATTCATTATATTCGGTCTCATGAAATACTTTAGTGGTTTATTCATCATGATTTTTTATAGATTAATTTACATGTTAGTGGTAACCGAATTTCATCGCAGAAGTTTGTTTCTCAGAGATTCAGTTTCCGCACTGTGGTGGTAAATATTCATAGTTTAGATGTTCAATTGGAGTTGTTTTCAGAGATTGGTGTTACGTTACACTGTTGATAATGTTTACTTTGGCGTAGGCTTTTTGGCAGTATCTGACCGTGAAGAGAATGATAAGCAGGTACCTTATATTAATTAAGCTCACTACTTGAGTTTAATTTGGCTTATGGGGATAGTCATCTGAAATAAAAACAAACAGTTGTATTCGTCAGCCATGTTCACTATCATAGTTTCCCAACTTGGTTGACATATTCAAATTTTACTTAAGAATTTCCGAATGCTCTGAATTTTGTTTGGATTTACATCCGAAAGGATCGTTGTATCTGCATACTCTTGTTTTGAAGTAATGATTCTTTGGAAAAGGCTTGGGACAAAATGATAGTGTGCCAACAATGATACAATATAACATCATGTAACCGAATGATAGTCGCTTACTAGGAAGAAGTAACCAACTGACTGATTGCCATCGATTTATCTTTATCTTCAAATCGTTTATTCTCTCACACAACGTCGTCTACTTTGATATCACTTTCACTATCTGCCTTTTCTTTGTATACTACTGTGAAGTGTGGCAACTTGAACTAATGTACTTGTGTGCGAGGTTCTAGGTTGATTTTGTCTGTCTGGCTCCATTTATGAAGTAACGCAAGTCTATTCTGTCAACCCTTGAAATAACCGATTCGGTTTCTTTCTTTCGTTTGGACAAAGAGTTCTTTCATGATATAAAAAAGTCTAGTTGGTTATTTTATTAGTTACGGTAGCCTTTACAGTTACTGACCAGGAAAACTGACAAATTGACCTTATTGCATGTTATATTCCGCACTGTATTATGTAATTAAATAGAACTGTTGCTCATATACGAATAATGAAACTCAGTATAATGTGTATTGAAGTCATACAACTAAAAATGTACTGTTAGTGGAGAGTATATTGAAGGTCATGTGACAGAATGACTTTTAACCAATGTATATAAGGTTACCTTAGTGTTTGTTATGCCTTTAGGTGAATAAACAGTGTCTGATTATTCTTATTTCATCTCATTGTTTTGGGTAGTCAGTTTTTTGTTTCAACCAGTATCATACAAAATATACGTAGGAAGAAAACTGATGAAATGATAATTCTATTTCATATAGTAGTGACCGCCGGTATTCTTACGGTATGGTGATTAAACTAAGAAAAAAGCCTATTCACACCATACTTGTGTATTTTTTTGATGGTTGAAGATAACTTTTGATGTGGTTAGCCGTCCAGTCTAATAATACCGGTTACTAACTTCCTGATTGTTGATATGAATCCGAAAACAACCCATTTTTCATTTCCTCATAGCTTTTTTGATAGTACTAGAGCTTATTGCGTATGCTCAAACTATACTGTTTCTACTATATTATTTGTTTTTACATAGGTATCTCAGTTTGGTTCTGAGATTTGTATCAGTGGTTTTATTGGTTTGGATTTGCCGAAGCGAAAACTGTGGATATTAGGAGATATATTCATCGGTAAATTTTATTCAGTATTCGATATGGGCAATGATCGTGTTGGATTTGCCAAAGCTGTTCATCCAGATTCCATTCGTCTTACGAAAAATTATGGTCCAATGATGCGATTATTCCCTGCTCGACCTATTCCACAAGTTTTCTCAAAAGTCCCAGACAGTGTGTTCGCGTATTCAAAGCTTATGCAAGATACAGTTTAAGAGGTGTGTTGTGTTTCATTTTAAGATGATTCTTTCTTATTTTGTGATGCAGAAAGACATTATTCAATTCAGTTGACAATCGCTAGTAATTCTTGTTTGTCGAATCATTCGGTGCTGTTGATTTTATCGACCTCTCTTTCGACGCCATTTTGTTAATTTCCTAACTTCTCATAATACATTTTATCTACTTATTTACCTCTGTTCAGTTATCAATATACAACAGTTGCTTGTTGTTTAACTAGCGGTTATAAAATCAAGTCTTAATTGCGCAAAATTACATAAGTTGAGTACAGTTGTCGTATAGACTATATCTGGTGGTTTAGCTCATGCATCTCATGCAAGCGAATGATTTTCAAATCATAGCAAGAGTTCTTACTCAAGAAATATGTATAGTCACTGAAGTTCACTTGATGAATTGATATTATAACAGATTTTCGGTCTGGTAAATGTTTTCTGGAAAAAGCATTTGAATAAGATGCAGGTTCGATGTTATATACTCGTTTTATTATAATTATTATTTTTCCCTTAAGTTCCTAGTGGAACATTGGGCTTCAGTAGCAAGCCTCCATTGCACTCTGTTCTCTGCAATCTTTTGAACCTGGCTCCACGACTGTGCACAAGCTTTCATTTCTTCCTCACATGATCTCCTCCATGTCACCCTCGCCTCGGACGCCCAACTAGTAGTTTCCCCTTTGGGTTCAACTTGAGGGCCTGGCACGTGACCTCCCAGTCGGCCTTCTGAGTGTATGCCTAATCCATCTCCACTTCCTTCTTCTGCATATTTGTTGGGAGATAGGTTCTTGGTTGTTGGTGTCAGCTGAATATCAAGTTGAGAAGTCATTGTTCTATCGTTGATCGTATTCGTCTCGGAGCGTTGCATCGTTATATGTAACGTAGAATTATAACATAACTGCTGATCATTAAAGTGAATCATTGTTAAACGCTAGGTCTTATGGATTAGACACTTTCCATGCAACAAATAATAAACAGAAAGTACAGCACTACCTGAGTTTCAGCACTTTAATTTTGGAGCGGCTCCCGTTCAATACATCGTTAACTGAAGTCCCAATTTACTGGTATGCAGAAATGGTACTGTCAAACGAAAGATAATTGTGTCTAGTTATCATCAGTTAGTCTTATAACAGTGGAGAGAGAAAAGCGTAACATTTGTCGCCCCTTCAGATAGACTCTAATGTCCTTCGAGTGTTGATAAATGATTTTGAACGTTTTATCAACCGGTTAACCATAAAAGAAAACTTGAAATAAGGGAGAACAATTGTCACTGTCATCTTGACATACGAATTTGGGCTAAATAAATAAATAAACTGATACTGACATTGAAATTTAACTAACTGACTTACAGAATACTGTCACTGTATGGTAAACAGATATTCAACATATACTTAAACTTAGTTGAAGTGGCAGAGTAGACGATAAGAAATGCGCGGAGGGTAGATACTAGCGTAGTGAGACACTTGGACTGGATACTAATAATAACTGTTTCCCTCAGTATCTTGTACTTCACTGAGCCGCGAAATATGAGAGGACAAGGACTGTTCTGGGAGGAAGACACTTTATTCTATACAAACTGTTAAATTCGTGACACATTTCTTTCAGGTTGGTATTCATCATGGACTGAAATTAGTTGGAGAAATATTGAAAACTTGGGAGCACTGGGGAGCTGTTTCGTCCCAGCATGGGACGGACCTCTCAGCAGTGCGCACCTGTGATCCCATCAGGGGTCGGAGCCAAGACTCTAATCTTCTGCAGCTAGCACGTTGCCATTGAGCCACTGGGTCAGAATCCAGTGATCAGTATTTCCTACTTCTCTCAGTTCAATATTTAGTGCAACCTCCATCCAATGCCATCGTTGAGTAACTGTGCTTATGTTCGACTTGGTTAGCCCCACCGGTCACGACTTCTCACTGAAACTTCAGGAATCACCTCTCGAAGCTAGTCACTGGTGAGCACTAGATTTCTTTCAGGCAAAGAATTAGCATTTGATGCAATTCAATCCACATATGGACTATGTAGTGATGCAGGAGAACTATGTTGGATTGCGAATAAACAAAGGCGGGACGGAGGTTTAGATACTATTGTCTATAAAGCCTTCATGCTTCAATCGATATCACTTAAGACAGACTTGGTCAAGTGCCTACAAAACATAGTATGAAGACTGACCAGTAGGACAGGAATTCTATATCAAGAAATAAATTTGTGCAGAAACACACAAGGGGTAATATAAAAAATACAATTACAGATAGAAACAGTGAAACGACAGGGAAGAATTTTAAAACCTCCATTGTTTTACTATACAAAAAAGGGATATCGAAAGTTCTACTCATGATTCATAATCTGGCTTGGATGAGAATAGCGTCAAAATCCACAAAGTTACCTGGAGATAAAGTTTGCCAGGTAAAGGGTCCTGTTAAACCTATTGAACAAAACACTGGTTTACCGAATTCTATTTAATGACTATGAAGTCAAATACAATGGATAAACTAGCCAACCGAGGTCGATTAGGTTATCAGAAGATAGAAATCTAGCTAAACATAGAATGGTCGATCCTAGAAAATAGCTGAGGTATAGCTATGCATGGTGTCACATGCAATCAAGTAAGTAGATAGGATAGAGTGACAACTTTAGAAAGTAATTTAGGTAATTGGTGAAAGAGAGAGTTTGCTCAAGTTGTTCATCGAGCCAGAATCTATGACAGACGACAGAAATGATGTAACGCCAATTCCAAACTCACGGAGCATTTTGCAATGAATTAAATAAAAGAATAAAAAACATTAGAACCGTTGAACCTGGACCTCAAACTTGTGTGATCACCTTGATAGGACAATGAGCAATAAACGTTGAGTGCGATACACACAAAAACAGAACAATGGTGAAGTGATTCTATCACTAACATTTTATTTCATAAACGAGGAAAAACTTGAAAATCATAAGTAAACAAATGAACAACAGTTCATTATGTTGAATAAAATGAAGTGTTTTTCGACAGTATCATGTCATAAAAAACACAAGATTTAATTTATTATTAGACCTTGTGCTCAAATTTATAGTAGTTATAAAAAAGGAAACCTAGTGATAAGGAATAGTTAGTGTGTTTTTGTTTGCTGTTTATGTAATTATGTCAGTAGTTATACAAATAATTAACTGTATTGAATGTAACCAGTGGTTACAAAGAATTGCTTAAAAATGAGCAAGCAAACATCAAAGCAAAGTGCTAGCGAATAGTTCCAAAAGGCTATATTTGAAGCTGCCGAAATGTAAAGTACTTCGTGAGAAGTGAACTGTTACCTATTGAATATGATGGAAACGAAGTGATAAATACAAGTATTACACTCTTGCTGTCGACATCAAATAACTGTGTTGTATTATTGGTGAGAGTATCTCAATTAGCTGTGACTTTGTAGACTAGTATTATTGATGCTAGGTGATGAATGAAGGTGAAGTGAGGACGTGAATGACAACAAGTTTCTAAATATTAGCCTTGAAATTTGTGTTTAAGTGCTCTACTGAAGAAGCTACCAGACTCTACTACTGACCAAGCCGTAACTTCATTTACATCTATCCCAGATAGTCTAACCAATAATCACCCCGTATGCTCACCCCACCCCGTTTCCATTCATTTAGTTTGGCTATAACTTAACTGCTGATCACTAAGGTGAATCATTTTTAAACGCTAGGTCTTATGGATTAGACACTTTCCATGCAACAAATAATAAACAGAAAGTACAGCACTACCTGAGTTTCAGCACTTTAATTTTGGAGCGGCTCCCGTTCAATACATCGTTAACTGAAGTCCCAATTTACTGGTATGCAGAAATGGTACTGTCAAACGAAAGATAATTGTGTCTAGTTATCATCAGTTAGTCTTATAACAGTGGAGAGAGAAAAGCGTAACATTTGTCGCCCCTTCAGATAGACTCTAATGTCCTTCGAGTGTTGATAAATGATTTTGAACGTTTTATCAACCGGTTAACCATAAAAGAAAACTTGAAATAAGGGAGAACAATTGTCACCGTCATCTTGACATACGAATTTGGGCTAAATAAATAAATAACTGATACTGACATTGAAATTTAACTAACTGACTTACAGAATACTGTCACTGTATGGTAAACAGATATTCAACATATACTTAAACTTAGTTGAAGTGGCAGAGTAGACGATAAGAAATGCGCGGAGGGTAGATACTAGCGTAGTGAGACACTTGGACTGGATACTAATAATAACTGTTTCCCTCAGTATCTTGTACTTCACTGAGCCACGAAATATGAGAGGACAAGGACTGGTCTGGGAGGAAGACACTGTATTTCGTGTAGACAGGTTATTGATCGATAATTTTCATGATGATATAAACCGACAAGGTCAAAAGTGAAATGGCCTCTTCTGACTGGTCAACTGTAGGATGAAATTGTCATGACTGGTCAACACACTGAAACAAGAATTGATTTGCAATACTGCTACCTCAGCGGTTAGTTTCTTAGTATGATTTTCATTTAGACCAGTTTGTATCGTTGGTGATCAGTGATAGTTATCGCGGTTCATAAGCGGTGAATAGAAGAAAATCAATTCAAAACCGTACATAGAAAAACACGAGGTTAATTTTTGGAGAACTTTGAGAAATATAGGTGCATTTTTGTCGGCGTATAACAGGAACGTGAACACCTTCAATTAGTCTTGGTTGTATTGTGTTCAATCGATTTAACAACCCAGCTCCGAGAACACAATACAATCAAGACCATCCACCTGAGCTACAAATATTCTCCATTACTCCTTCAATTAATTTCACTAGTGGATTTTTCGTGTTTAATAGGGTGGTTTTACCTGTAGGTTTTCGTTCCTATGGTGATAACAAATGTCATTCATTTTTTCGTTTATGGTCTTTGTTACCTTTGGAAATTTGAATTTACTAAGTGAGTCTTAAAATAGTGACTAGACAGACTAACTTTTTAATGAAATCACTTTCGTTAGGCATTTAAGTATAATGAATGCTTAAATTTAATGAGAGGTAATGTTTAAACAAATAAAAATCTGACTGCATGTAGGTTGTGATTAAGAAATTTATGTAGGTTGAAGAATTATTTGAAAAATAAAATATTTAGCAGACTGGACCAGAACTGATAGTAATATCATCATCATTATAACCACTTTGTTAAACTAAAGCACTCTTAAATATTCACTTCAACAATCAATCGGTCGTTTCTTCCTTAGCTTGATTTGAACTTGAATAAGATGACCTAGTTGGATAGTTAACATGATGGTAATGCACGGACAACTACACATCACTCATGCACATGATCAATGACCAAATGCCTCGAAGTAAAATCAACTTCAAATCTGGTCAGTATTCAAGTTTCGTAGTTTATTTGGTAGAGACCGGGTTTGATAACCTTGTCACATTTACTTTCTTCTAAAATTCCATACTGAAATTTAATTTGTTGAAAACACTGGGTATATTACAAGTTATGGGCGTATTATCGAAATGCCTAATGTAAAAAACTACTTTGTTGACTGTTGGATCCGTTGTACTACCATTGTCAATTTAGCTTGATTGTATTACGTTATTTTTGCAAACTAACAGTAATAGTTTGGATTCATTTTGTGGTAAGGGAGAAGTCAGAGTGTTGGTGCACAGTCTGTTTAGTTTCTTTTTATGAAACCTTTGTAAAAATTAAAATGAATTATGAATTTCCTAGACATCTCGGCTTTATAACATTCCAACAAATTGGAAGCTGTTTCTAAAACTACAAATAGTCATCACGATGAGGTATAATTGATTCAAACTATTTAGTTAACCAGGTAATCAGTTTATGAAAGGGCGAATCAACTTTTTCCATACTGTTACTTCCGAGTATACAAAAGAAGGAAGATATTCACAATAAAACTATATTGCTTATTTTTAACCATCTGCTTGTTTAATAATCATAGAATTCCAGTAATTTGTTTGGATGTAAAATGGTTGGTTTTTTGGATGGTTTCTATCATTGATTGGTATTACCTAGAAAACCACTGGAAATCAGAGTGCATAGTGGTGCACACACAATGCCATATGGGAATAAATCCGTAACCAAGCCGAAAGTGAACATGAAAAATTGTGGTTTCCATTAGATGATCGCACTATATTTACAAACTGTAGATTCATAGAATGCGAATAAGTAAAAAAAAAAAAGTAACACATTCACTGTAAGACTTTAATTTCCTAAGCTTGATTACATGTATGATTATGCATACTGACTACTGAGAAATACCTAAATATCATGACATTGATGACCATTGTTCCCTAGTCCTCACGTTTTCTGTAGTCGATACAATTCTATGACTAGAATTACTTATGAGACTACTTGTATGAATACAGTTGTTCAGTATACGTTTTGTGCTTGTCATATTCTTATGTATTTTTCGATAGACTATCATGTTTTTTCTACTGTCCCGCTTCTCAACCATATCATTGAAAAATCTGAATATGTTAGCCAATAATAGACTTATTTTAAAGTGGTATTTATCGCGGACTGACATCAGTTGGAGAACCATCAAAAACCTGGGAGCATTGAATAGCTGTTTCGTCCTAGTGTGGGACCCCACAGACCACTGCTTCTCGTTAGAACTTCGGGATATCCACCTCCGAATATGTCATCAGTGAGCACTATGCAGTAATGTGATTTGACGTCTGTGGCGAGAACTGGGATTCCTGAGTTTGACCTTTGGTGAGTGTCTTGAGTACGTTGTGCTGGGGAGTCCCCGCTGGGTCGAAACAGCTGTATAATGCTCCAAGGTTTTTAGTGGTTCTCCAACTGGTCTCAGTCAGTGATGAATACTACCCTCAAAAGAAGAAAGACTTATTTGTTTGTTAATCTAAATACAACTGGTTTGTTGAAAAGAAAATTTTCCCTGAGTTATTTTGTTTTTTGAATATAACGAATAGTCTAGCAAAATAACTCAACTTTTTTATGTGTTCTTATTTGACGAAGTTTGATTGATCATATAATATACTAGGCGGTTTCGCTTGGAATCTTTTCATTAAATGAGAAAACCTTGGAATGCGCACAACTTGAAAAAATAAACAAAATGAATCGAAATTATTCAAGGAAGTATTATGAAAAACAAGAGATGCAAAATAAATAACAAGAGGATATTCATCTTTCAAAAACTGGATAAATGACAAATTAAATACTTTTCACTGACTTCAGTTAACTTTTATTCAAGTATATCTACATTTATTGATAGCTTGGTTATTAAGTCAGTGGATGTATATACTTGCTTAATGGTCTATAAACTAAATCGGTTGTATAACGGCTACTGATAACACCTGGCTAGCTGAACGTCGGTAGGTCAATGTCTAGTATTGTTATCACTTAGATACACCTCTAAAATAACCATTTTGACTTGTATATGAAAAGTGCTTATTTTTAGAAACTATAAAAGAATACTGCCACCCGTAAGGTTATTGAGTCAAATTATGTTGAATAATTTGACTGTGCTAGATTATGGCTGTACATTGTAAAGCGAATTGTTCAAATATAATCATTGTATTATGATCCACTGACTCAACGTGAAGTTGTTGAAAGTGTACAACAAACCTGTAGGTATAATATTTCATAACGTCAATTTTCTTCAAACTTGAGCTATGCATTTGAAGAATGTATTAAAAATGGAGTATATTTAGATATTTAAAAACGTATTTTTATACTAAATGAATTTACAGTCATTGTAGTTTATTGAAGATAATAATAAATTGCATTTCAATGAACTTTTTTATTTATTTCCTTTGGAGAAGATATTGTTTATATTAATCTGAAAACAGATTACAACCTTCAAGTCGTGCTATTAATATATTCAATGGTAAACTTTGTACTAATGATTCATTAGGATTAATTCGAAATATCCATTTCAAACTTGATTCAATATCAGGAGATAATGAATATGATGGTTGTTGTAGTGTAACACTTTTTCCACTTTTTGGTCGTAAATTTGATTTGACAGCAGTAGATGGTGATATTGTTTCAATTATATTCTTTAATTGAGCTAATGTTACACTGTTTGATTGTGCTTCATTTGACCTATTGAATAGAAAATAAGTTCAAAGTAATTGTCGTGTGTTTAATAATTTGTAGAGATATTTTTCACCACAAACCTGAAACAGCTGCAGGACTATTGGAAACTGGTTTCATCCTATTTTGTACCTCCTCAACACTCTGTATCCACGACAAATCGTGAGATAGAGTACTGAGAAGTTCAGATTTCTCAAATATTATTCTAATTTCTAGTCACCTTTTTCGAGCTCATCAGTCCATATTTTTCCAGTTTCATTTGGTTTGCCGTCACAATCATCTGATGTCTTCAGTGAACATTCACCCTTCCTTTCAGTGTTTTTTAACATCATAATTTATTCGATTCTATTGAGTATTTGCAGTAGTTATCTTGAGTATCACCTATAAGTGATCGTCATGTTAATTCATAAGGTATTTAAAATTGAAGGATTTAGACTATTGGTTACATTACTAATCGTTAAAAATATTAACTTGTTCAGCATGAGATCTAGCTGTCTTAGGTTCGATGCTGTCATGTTACATGAGTACACATTAGTGTGGTGTTTCAAACTCGAATCGAACAGTTGTCCAGTGGCCCACATTTTCTAGCGATTTTTCAACTAATGCATTAGTTCACGAAGAGAAGTATATCTTGAAATCATAAGCAGTTACATAGCATTAATTACGTGCATAAATTATCATTATTATTAGTCCCTTGGGTTCCTAATGGAACATAGGGCTTCAGTAGCACGTCTCCATTCCACTCTATTCTCTGAAATCTTTTAAACCTGGTTCCACGACAGCCCACAAGCTCTCATTTCCTCCTCGCACCATCTCCTCCATGTCACCCTCAGCTGAGACGTCCAACTCGTCGCTTCCCATGGGGATTCCACTCGAGGGCCTGACGCGTGATGTCCCCAGTCGGCCTTCTCAGTGCATGCCCAATCCATCTCCACTTCCTTCTGCATATTTGTTTAGTTTAAATATTGAGAAAACACAACAGTTTTAGCTAAAACTGTATTTTCTCGAGTTAATTCGTTATTGGTTTTACTTCTAGCGGGCTCTTCTTTATAATAGCCATATCGATTGACTTCTGTACCCTATCTGAGATTGTTTATGCAATCCTGACATTTTCAAAGCACATTTTTATGTCATGATGAAAATTTCCTTTATTTCACCATTAGGTGTTGCTTGAATGAAGTAATACGAACTAAATTTTATGGTTGGTAGTGAATGACGTGTTCACTAATGTCGAGGTTAGGCGATCGATACCAGACTAGTCGGTCGACGAGGTTGTAAACCTTCAGTGACTGTGGTGACTTGGAAATATTTTGTGCACAGCCTTATCTCAGTGCGCAATGTTAGCCGAAGTTGTACTAGCTTGGAAAGATGCTCAAAATGACCAGACAAGGAGATGGTTTCGGTACATGAAACCTGTGACTATTGATCTGGACTGTATAGGGAGGGGTAAATTGCCTAGTTGGGGTCCTCGAGTTGATAGGAATCAATGGTTGGAGATCTTTAGTGACATGTTTCAAAACAGGTCACAGTGGCCCAGATGTTTCCCCTCTTTGACGTCTACTGAAGCTTGGACATTCTAATTAGCCTTTTGCATCAAATAGTTTCTCTTCTCATACTTCGTTGTCTACTTTGATATCATTCTCTCTGCCCATATTTTTTTTACATAGTGCAGTGAATTGCGGCAACTTGAACGGATGCACTGCCGTGCTAGGTTTCACGATGATATTGTTTACCTGTCTGACAATGATGTCATCTACTTAATTTTCCCTGTTAAATAAGGCTTTGGTGCATCATATAAACATTATTCCATGTTAAATTTCCTCATTCAGTCACAATTACACTCTACCTTTTACTTTTGGACACATTCAGTTACGTGTGATGTAAACTTACGCATTTAATGCCACCAATATTTGTCTTTCGTTAATATAAACGTGAATAATTACTGTAGCCTATACGATGTGTAATCAGTTTGTTTTTCATTAGAAATTGTTTGAGAAAAGCTGTTCAGTGACAGTTTAGTCATTCCACCAACTTTAAATTTATAAATATGACAGTAGTAATTATCCTCAACAATACTTATTCACTTTATTTAGCCTAACTTCATCTTGACTAGTTGCATGACTAGATCATCTCCTGAACAACGAATTTTGCTTAGTTGAGTTGTGACTTGAACAGTATGAAGTTAAAAAAAAAAATCAGTATTTACCAAATTACTAATAAAAAAAATACACAATTTCTTACATAAACTTTTGAAGTTCTACAACAACATCATTAATAAATGCTGTTTTCATCTGTTTATAAATTGAGATCAATTCATTTATAAAAGGATTATAGTCTTCATCATTTGTCTGTTTGAAAATAAAGATACATATAAATAAAATGGTTGATGCCTCGTTTATTCTAATAATTTGCTTTATTATTATCGTATTCATTTTGCTTAGTTCAGTTATTCTTATTTGTATTATACTCAAAATTTTTCAATTCAGTGTTTGGAAATAGGTAAATGTTGAATATCATTGAAGTAGACAAATGACTTCACTAGTGTGCTAGTATTTGCCTCTTTTTATTCAGTAGAGTTGATGCTATCATAAATTAATTGAGAAGAACAAATTTGCATCGCATAGTTAAATATGCATACATGAAATAGAGTAGATAGGATTTAACTGCTTCCGATAATGTTAACCATTGACACATTGAATTTGCTCAAATTTGCAAAAGGGTATTATTTCGCAATATACCTGAAAAGCCGAATATTATTTGACCCCTTGGAAGCATGATCATTAAGCTTCAAAGATGTATACATGGAGTCGGTGGCACATGGATATTTCAGAAATATGTAATTTTAGTTAATGTAAGTTTGTCCCATACCTCAAATGCCTTGCTGGGGGCAACAAAAGTTTACGGAGTAAGACGTTCTATCTTTATGACTGAAACTTTCAACTTCTATCTCCGACAGTAGGAAGGCAGTTTTGGTAGTTATCCATGAAAACGCCAAGACGCTGTTACACATTGGTAAGGTTAAGATTACCACTCCATCCTTGAATGGATAGTCATTTTTCGTGCAGTTTTTAATATGGGTCGCTTCTTAACTGACGTTTCAGTTACAGTAGGACCTCATGGAATTTCAACTAACATAACTTTGTTATTACTTCAATTAAATCGAATCATCATGAAAAATCAGAAATAATGCCTTTGATTGATTCTACAGAAGTCATTGTTTACCCTAGTAACCTTTAGTTTCAGGCTTTGTCTTTTGTATATATACAATAATTACATTTCATTCGTTTATTCTTTAATTTTCATCTAGTTTGACTGCAGTGCAGTCAGTCAGTAGTTTCAGTCTCCTGAACATGTACCATTCGATTACATGGTATTGTTTAGGTTTATCAAGTGATCAAAAGTATTGAATCAACAATGAAAAGCAAGTACACATTAGAAAATATGTGCTCTTTAACTTGTTATATAATAAGTCATATAGAGTGATAATAAATTTTCTAATAAATCTCTGCATTTATTATTACTTCGTCAGAGATGCCACTATCGGTAAATATGTTGAAACTTGGAAAGATCATGAATAAATCGAAAAATTGCTTAAATGCATCATTCTATGAGACATATGGTAGTGAGTGAAGGTTGTCATGGTTACAGTATCTTAAAATCAACAGGTGTATGATTCAACTTCGGTAAAGTATGTCTGGATTCCTTATACGCGTATTACCCTTTATGAATTTAAATTAAGAAGTAACAATGATTGGAGCACAATAATATGAAACCATTTTATTTTACCAGCATGTCGTTAACCGCTTACAACCCAAAAGCATTTAAATATCACAAATGAAATGTATTTATAGAATTCCAATGAGGTAAAAAGATAAATTTCTGACGTTGTACGACTTCGTGAAAATCGTCCCTTCAGGGAATCTTATTGCAAAAGAACTAGAGCATACCTTTTCACTGTTACATGAAGTTAGTTAACAGGGAAGGACATGGTTTAATAAAGATATAAACATCTAGCTAAAGTCTACATGACGTGGTAAGAAGTTTCAGTTATATAGGCTACTCACCAGATAGGTCAAGAAAATAATATGGATGGTAAAAAAAGATTGCCCAAGAAGTGGATTATCTGATAATCCTTTAGTCCTCTCATATAATCTTAAATACTAAGACATTCTCTTACCATCTGTTATTTTACTTGTAATGTCCATTGACTTATAGTCATGACTGAAACTTCTTGGCTTGTTGGTTTTATTATATTCGGATGTCTGTGTACTTTATTGGACCATGTCATTTCCTGAAAGTAACTTCATCCAACTATAAAAGATATGCTCAGATTCTTTTCTTGTATGCTATGTAAATACTTTAGGTTGTTAGTAGCTGACGAGCGAAGATAGCAAAATATTCTGCTCCAATCGTTGTTGTTTATCTACTTCTAGATTGTCAGCATAAAGTATAATATCCATGTCAACATACAAGTGTTTTTAAATCTGAGAATAGATAGACAAATAATCGAAAGGGCCTGGGGACCACCAAAGTTCTTCACTACTTACTTAACTAATTCTGCATGTATGTGATCACCTTGTTCAAAAAACGACTTCAGTAGGTATTTGAAACGACGGCAAGTTTCTATCAGTGTTGTGTTAGACTCAGATTGCAGATTGATTTGTACTAAACATCTTATCAAAAAGATTAATCACCTGAGAAACTTTATTTACGTACGTTTATTATTTGGAAATCATGAATTGTGTATAAACACTAAGCGAAATGACTTAACACTTAAAATCATTTTTAACTTGTGATAAATTGATTATTGAAGGCAATCGTTAGAAATCATCGACTTTAAGCTTTATAATGAGTGGTAGTACTTCTTACTGAAAGATATTTTCTAATACGAGAAAGTTCATGCTTCTTTGTCATAAACATACTGCCGTGATTATGCTGATGGATAACAGTAGAAATTAACTCCAGAAACATCTATTGTTAAACTTCAGTAAATAAAAAAAATGTTTGATGGTAGTTATTAACGGAATTGTTTTGGATATGTCAACTGGGTGTACGTTATTTTCACTACCTATTATTTTCAACATTGGATACCCTATGCACTGATCTAACTCAATGTTATCGTTTATACAAGTTCTTATAAATTCCATAAATTTAAAAAACAAACTATCATTGATAAAATCGATCCAAAATAATTACTTACATTTTCAAATAATTTATTAAAATCAATCATATGCTGTATATTGACTTGATTCAAATTAGAGTTAGTTTCCTCTTTTATATATGATGATAAGTTCGATGATTCTTTTGTACGTAAACTTGCATATTCTGAAGCTGATTGAATCAATTTATCTAATTTGTTTAAATTTCTTTGACCAAATATATTTAATAAAGCTTCATAAAGAGTTTGTTGTAAAATTAATTTCTGTTTATCTTGATCACTTTGCATATTTAATAAAGGAGTAACTATAAATCAAAATAGAATAAATTATAATTTATAAATAAAAACACCCAATAATGATGAAAAAGAAAATCTTTAATGAACTCAATAGGAAATATTGATTGAATACTTGATCATCACTATCATAAAACATGGATAGTAATAACAGTATTACAAATGTATACAATGAATGATACCTGAAAAAAATACTTTTTGATTGAAAAAGTAATAGTATTGAATCGATCAAAATTGATTGTTATAGTAAAAAAAGTCAGTAGTCTAGAAATAAATTTATTCAGGAAATATATTTAAGAAAACATGAAAATGTTTATTGAGTAATAATAATAATAATAATGATAAAAGCCATAACGGTAAAAAGTTAAACACTCAGTTGACGAGTACAATGTAAGACGAAATGTGCATAGTGTACAACTAATCACTATTCATCATTACTACCAAAAAGAAATTACTGGGAATATCGAGGCATACTCACAAGAATCCATATATGCTACATTGCTGCCGATCAGTTTAGTGCAATAAACAACGGAAAATTACAGGTCATAACACCAAAATCAATGAATGAAGTATACTGTGAAAGAATGTTAGAATGAAGACCACTAAGTACAAGTTGAAGAGAAAGCAAACAGAGTAGATAATGGACTAAAACTCCTACTATATCTTATATTATAATTTTTATATATATTCAAATATGTAGTGTATTCACTTCACACTTTCTATTGACATTACTACTCTCACTAAAGTATATTTTCTTCACTTACCCTAGTTATCTTTAATGTTCATATACGAGGAAAATTTTACCAAATACATTTTTATTCAATGTTCAACTGTTACTTACTTGTATTACCATGACTGTTATTGTTATAGTTTGAATCAATAAATATTAGAATTTGTTCTTTAATTGATTTTAACCATGATTCTAAATGCCAGTGACATTCTTCATCCATCTAAAAATATTGATAATAAGTAATACTTTTATTGGGTAACGTATTTATACTGACAATAGAAGTTCAGGTAGACAGAAGAAGGTTGAATTTCCAGGCGGACTCTTATAAGTGGATTCTCAATCAACGACCTAATGCCTCTTTTTCACTTACATTTGTAATTTGAACAGTCAATCAAGTTTTAAAGTTGATATTCTTTAGAAACTGACATTATTTGGAGAATCATTCAGAAAACTTGGGAGCAATGGATAGCTGTTTCATCCTAGTTTGGGACTCTTCAACAATATGCATCCATGATCTCCACTAGGGATCGAGCTCAAGACACTTAGATTTCACAGCAACCACTTCATCATTTGGGCAATGGGTTGGAATACAATGGTCCACATTTCTCTACATCTTTCAAGTTTTGATGTTATAGCTTGCATTTATTTTATTTCGTTGATAGAATCGAACTGGTCGGTTACAATTGGCTTCTATATGGGTGCCTCGCTGTTACCGCCAATTTCATCTGATAGTAATGATAGGTGGTGTCTATTTGAGAAATCCAGGGCACTCGTAAAAATTAATAAGAAATTAAACTCGTTGCTCAACAGGTGGCTTTTGTGATTCTGTAGCCTAGTGAGAAACGCTTTGGAGTTTGAAGTGGTTGGTTCTCTGTTCTAATCCCACTGGGAATGACAATCACTGAGGGGAAGTGCACCCCGGTAATGAGTCCCAGCTAGGATGAAACGCACGTCATGAATTCCACCGCTAGTCACTAACCATCATCACTGGTCAAGTTTATCTTCAGTACAGTCATTTTGTGTATGAAAACTAAAACTTGATTAAGTAGTGGAGTGTTGTTATTCAATGGCTATTGGGTAGTGTTTGCACTAGAGTAGCCCTGAAATTGATGCCTCAATTTCCTTCATCGACTAACTTGGATCACGATTTGAGAGTATATATCGGTTGACTTAGCTGATATGAAATCATTGAAATGATAACACTGGTATTGCGGAAGAAAATAAAGTACTCTAAATAAATGTGATTAAAAGTCTCCCATAAATAAATAAAACGCCAGACAAAAAAAGAATATGTATATCAAATTACTAGAATGTCTGGGGGAAAATTTAAAATGACTATCTTGATGGAAAAGTATTATGATAAATTTTAAAAAAAATTCATATAACTTATAGTAGTTATGATGAGTTATGTTTCACAAAAATATACTGTGTGAAATACTGCGTTCTGTAAACCGAGTAACATCATAGCACAAATTTACTTAACATTATTTGCACAGTTGAACAAATGTAAGTAGTATCTCTGACTTCAAGAAATGACAACTACACTTTCGTAAGATTATCATGATCATCAAATCGTAAATATTGTTGAATTATTCATGCATTCACATCAGTATTCTACATCGTAAATGTTGTGAAACACAATTGCACTGACTATTTTGAATGAAAAGTATGCTAAACTGAGGGGTGGTGAGTGAAATCTCACACTTCAGAGACTAGATTCTACGGTCAGTAACAGCCGGCTAGTCCGAATCCTGTTAGGGCTGCGGTCTAGTTAATCAAGTTTAATTATTACAGTTAACATAGATCAATCCACAAATAAGGAAGTGTCATATAGACTTAATGATAAACTCATCCATTAATATGACTAAATTACGTTGACGCAGATGACCATACCAAGTCTGAAATTGCCAGATATTCACACACAGTGACCATCTAAACCTTTGAAAAGCAAGAGCCTGTTGTGTCATCAATATACAGGTGATTATTATTTAATTATTATTTTTCCCTAAAGTTTCTAGTAAAACATTGGGCTTTAGTAGCACGACTCCATTGCACTCTGTTCTCTGCAATCTTTTCAACCTGGCTCCACGACTGTGCACAGGCTTTCATTTCTTCCTCACATGATCTCCTCCATGTCGCCCTCGCCTCGGACGCCCAACTCGTCGTTTCCCCTTTATATTCTACCTGAGAGCTTGGCACGTGATGTTGCTTATTCATTCTGGCTATCCATCTGATCTTCTGCATCAAGTGAGCGTAGGTGGCAGCTGTTGATACATGTGTGTAGTTTGTTGCAAATGCTTTTCGTGACACGACAAGTTTCTCAACCATCACATAGAAGCACTGATTTACTTGACTGACTTAGTGTTGAAAATCCGGATCGTGTTCACACTTTGTGCTGAGTGCAGTGGAGTGGAGTGCAGTAGATCTCCTCACTGATTTCAGGTTGATGAAGGCCCTACTTGCTGTCCTTCCGATCCTGGCTACTTTGACATCCTCATGTGTGCCGTCTTAGCCGCTATCGCCTGTAGTTGAAACGATGCTGCCTTGTCTACGTAGGTGAAAGTGACAACTTCCTTTAGATTTCTCCCGTTCATGGTGATCGTTGGTGATTGTTGTCATTGCTTGGGTATCTTCATCATCTCTGTCTTCTCTACGTTCACCTGAAGGAAGTCCCGTCTTCCTTGACTACCCTGCATCTTCTGCCAACTTGTTAGTTTTCGCCTGTACATCTTCGAGTTTGTGCGACAAGACATGAGACAGAAATCACCATCGCAAAATTCAAGTCTCCTAGGGTCCTTTTATCGGTTGGACAGCGTACGTCCTCATTGTTTGTCGCATGATCCAGTCCAGTCGACCACAATCAGGAAGATCATTGGTGATAGTAGGCGACAACCTTGTCTCACTCCTGTCTTCATTTCAATGGCGTCACTGAGCTTTCCATTGTCAATCACTTGACATGTAGCATCCTCATATAGCATATACCTGCTGTTGAGTGGGGTTGATAAAGATTTGTGGTACTCCATAGTGTTGAAACACCTGCAAAATTACTTCCCGGTCGACGCTATTTAAGGCCTTTTCAAAGTCGATGAAGTTGAGGTAGAGTTGAGTTGACTGCCATTCTATGCTCTGTTCAATGATGATGCGTTGCGTAATGTGGCGTTACAATGTGATGTACAGGTGATTTGTTTTTCCTGAAGCCAGCCAGTCACTCTGTTCCTGTTGTAAATTTGAATCCAGAGTACCTTTTAATGTTTTCAGTATGATGCGGGTTAGTATTTTGCTTGGTGTGGACAGGAGCATGATTCCATGCCAATTCTTGCAAAGATTAGGTCACCCTTCTTTGTGAGTTTGACAAGGTAGCACTTCTTCCAATCAGTGGGCAGGTACCTTCCCTTCCTTCCTTCCTTCCAAACCTTCTGCAGTAGTGCTGTCAGCGTGTCTGCTGTTGTCTCTGTGTCTGTTTTCAGTGCTTGTGGATGAATTCCATCTGGCCCTGCTGCCTTCCCGGACTTCTTCAACTTTATGGCGTGGCGTTGTGGACTGCACTTCTGCTTTTGTCGGAGGGCTTGTGATCACTGGTAGTTTTGTGGCTGGGTTGCTGGTGGTATTTCTAGACGAGTTGTAGGTGGTGGTGATGGTGGTCGAGTCAAGAGTTTTTTGAAGTGGTCAGCTCATCCTTTCCTTTGTTTCTCCTCTTTGGTGGTAACTAAGTTTCCTTCATTATCTCTCATTGATTTTATCTGCCTTCATCTCTTCTCTAACAGACAGTAACCTGGTTATTTGATATAGTGTTTTCAAGTCACTCCTACGAGCCCTCAGCCTGTTCTCCTTCACTTGCAGGTGTGTCATAGAAGTGTCTTCTGCCTGTATGTGCACTTTTCTTCACTTCTTTGTCCAGTTTAGTGTTTAATAGGTTTTGCTCAGTTCCTCTTTTCGTTGTTCATCCCTGCACTTCACTAGTTCATCTTCTGCTTCACCATCTTTCTCTCACTGCTCTATCGGCTTCCATGTGTGCGTGGAGATCCATTCCTTGTCTTGCCTTTTCTTCTTCTTTCCTAACACGTTTATGCAAGTAATTGGTAGAGATGAATTAGAATCGGAAGTAATTTGTAAGCGTAGGAGGTGGTTTTTATTATCTCTGTCGAAGAGTCTACAAGCTGTGAGTCAGATGATACCGAAAGGGGCGTTATCAAACAAATGAGCTGAATATAAGTCGATGCTAACTGGGGGCCTGGATCTGGCTTCAGTGAACAGTAGGGACTGGTATTGAAATATCACAAGGTGGCCTATCAAAATGACGGATGTTTGGTTTCTTTTCAAGAATGGATATGAGTTTCGCATCACAAAATTCACAAGGTTGTTGAAGTAGTCATGACATCCTGGGAATGGCTAATGATTCCTACCATTCGCTGTAGAAATATTATTTACTTCCGAAAATCGCCGGGTTTTCGCAACCTTGGACAAATATCTTCATGTCCGATTCCATTCAGGTCATCGATCTGCCCTCCTTGTATTCACTACGCCTGAATGCTCACATGTCATCAAATGATCGACAGAATTCTGGCAATACTTGGAACTGAACAAAATTTATCTGTTTGTCCTCCAACGACCAAGCAGTGTATCCAATCCAGTCATAAAGGAGGTAAACCGCAGCTCGAATAGCTCAGTGGTAAATCTATGACTGCAGTACTGGTTGATAAGAGTTCGAATATCTCAGGGAACATTGGTCCCCTGAAGGCTGATGAGTGCCAACAAGCACAAAACCTAGATTGAGCATGAATCCCTACAGACTGTTTTCGACCATTAAATGTCAGTCGAAGCGCACTGTGATCCTGAGTCTCCTAGCCTATAGACCGCATTACAAAATGGTCGGTATTTAGGATTAATAAGCAGAAATTTCGTTACTCGCCAAACACCAATTATTGTATGTGTCCTGATTCACCAATCTTTATATTTCTTGATAGAAGGGCTGCATTTGAGTCAATTCCCTACCGATAGTTTCTACTTTGACGTGATGGTCGGGCTTGCATATCACAAAGGCCCAACCAACTATGTTGATGAAGTGCTTTTTCCGTCGAGATCCTACCACATCAGAAAACGTCCGTTGGATATTTGCTTGACAAAAAGAGGTTGCCATTATAGTGTCAATTACCACGCTATGATGAAGGTCTGAAGGCGATATCGCTCTGCTGACTGGATAGGAATGTGACAGTAGTAAGCTGTTTCCCTTGGATGACTAGCAGTAACACGCTGACGGTGCCTTGCTATGAAAAGTCGGTGGTTAAGAACATTTGGCCCTCAAAGTACCACGCTCGCATTACCCCGCGGCATGCCAATGCTGGTGACATGGGTTCGTAATCGTATTTGTGAGCAACAAACCGAAATCTAAAACTTCTAAAATGGGCGCGTGTAGCCGACCTCAAGCGCATGTGTCTCGGACTCTGTAGTCACGCACCAATTGTTCTTTTTTCAGGCACCTCAAGAAGAACTAGCCTTGGATGTTGTAGGCAGCCCAGAAGTATCTGCTGCCCTTACAACTTTGTCAGCACTTAAGTTCCCCCAGATCACTATCCACTTACCATATCTTCACCTTCTAATCTTCCTTCGTGTCTCTTGATCAATGATCATACATCATCTCTAATTTCTCCCACCTCTACAGCTCTCAACGATGATTTTAGGTCACAGGACAGCACTCTTGGTCTCCTGAATTCGCGCTCAAATCACACATTGAAGCTTTAAATCTCCAGGCATTCCGTCATGTCGGCCAACAAGCGTCACTAGCCAAAACTCTAGCAACTAAGGCCACGGATGTGTGCTGTGTTTTGGAGACATGCATACGAAACGCAAGTGTGGTTATCCAATTAACCTCACCCGGCTAAAGTGCTGAACCCATAAAATTCATCCTTCGAGGTTCTGGAGATCCGATGGCCACTTCTCAGGGTCTTGCCAGCATAGGTATAGCATTGAGCACTAAATAAGAAAGCCTACTACTCGACTGGATCCCAGCTGATAGTCATCTACGCGCTGACTGACATAGTGAGTTGAAAAAAGAATTGTGAACCTCGATACTGTCTCTTTATAATCTGTGCATACTCACCCATTTACTACAGTTCAGATGAAGTGAACGATGAGTGCTACCGAAAACTTTCTAGTCTCCTTCTGAAAGCCAAGCGTTCAGATGTGGTAGTTGTTGCAGATGATTTCAATACACCAGTGGGAAAGCCAAGTCTGAAAGTAAGGCAGTTAGGCGACACTTCCGGAGCCTCAGCTAAACGAATGGACAACGGTGATTGCCAACTACAACTGGGCTTATCTAAGCATTTGTTTCTAGCCAGCACAAACTTTAGACATAAAGAAAGAGATTGTTTAACCTTGATTCCACCAACTTCAACTCAGCAGTGGAAATATAGGAAAAGAAAATATTGAGAAGTTCATAGTCTAGACGGTTAAAAAGAAAAACAGTCTGTCATTTGATTTCACCATGTTTCTTAGAAGTGCATAAAACTAAGCGAAAGTGTAAGACATTAACTTACTTATCAATAGTATGACTGAAGAGAATGAATGAAGGACAACTAGTCAGATGTTCAAGAATTAAGTGAGGAATAAATGCGTCCCAGCTATATGATCGATTCTGAAAACTGTCACCCAAAAGGTTTTATCCCTTGATTACTAATATCTTAAGCAAACTGAAGAGATTTTCCGCCAAATATTTTGAGCGTTTAAGTTGAGCTAACAGTGAGAAACTCTACAGTGGTTTTGATACAAACTGTCGTTGAATCTTACTGATCACATCTATGCTATACTCTGGCGAATCCTAAATACACTCATTCAGTGTAGACTACTCATGGGATATTATCTTACAGTGATGGACCATCTTCATTAAAATATGTATGCATAATGTAAATATCTTTAGAGTTTAGGTGATTAGTAATGAATAATGCAAAGTAATATTTAAAGCAGGTAGTTCAGCTTGTGAGCATGACAGTAATATGACCTAATCTTTGAGAATGCCTTTAAACTGGCTAGAAACAGGTTATAATTGACAGTTCAAAGTATTTTAATGAATATCCAGGGAGTATCAAGACATTTGGCTAAGAGCTCATTTGCCAAAAGACGTCAAGCAATTCGATTCAGTATAACAATGGGAGATTACAAGTATCAGTTAGTAATATTCAATTTTTTCCTGTGATGAATAGGATGGTGAAGATGAAATGTCAAGATAAACGATTAAATCAGATTAAATTTAAATATGATGTCCAAGACATTAAAAAATAATTTCAGATTCACCTTATTAAGTAAAGTTCTGACAACTAAAGTGAGGCACTATATTGAAATGGATGAAAACTTTTCGTTAAACCTTTCAATATTTGTGAATATTTCAACTTTATGAGCATTGCAATATCTTGGTTGACAGAATTCAGTAATTATCTCAAGTGTATATGACCCATAGGTGCAAAACTTTCAAAAAGAAAATGCTGAAATAAGTACCTCTTCATTCCCTTTTCTGCTGTTATAGTCACCTGGATTTATTAATGTAAGCGAAAAACTTCAGTACTGTGGTAGACTATAATTCTATATTCGATTGTTTTTTTTTAATATAGCACACAGTGATACAGTATTACTTACTGGGTGATATTTAGAGCGGTTAGTTGGTTGGAGGCAATCGGCAGGAAGTCATGGACCTAGGTGTCGTGCTTTTTGGCACTTGTCAGCAAAGCGTATCTACAACCTCGATGGAACTGATGTCCAGCCTGAGATTCAAACATGCATCATCCAGTGCTGTAGTCAGCGTCTTTACCACTGAGCTATTCTAGCCGCGATTAACTTCCTGTAGGGCTGGCTTACATGTGTTGATTGGTCACTGGACTGTAATCGATTTCAGAGCAGAGTAGAATTTATTGCTCATATTCATGTCAAATTCTTTGATATTCCGTTCGTAAGTCATCCAGTAAGCATTATTGTATCACTGTGTATAATATCAAGTAAACAATATAATATGAAGTCACCTAGATTAATTCATTCCATAATGAAAACTACTTTTTAATTCATCAAAAATTTCCACAAAGTATGTAGGCTAAAAGAAAAGTGAAGCATAGTTATAACATTGTCATTAATTCAAGTGTCTAAATACAATACTTATACACTGATTAAAAAACAATCGGTTTCATATGTTGCCTAGTCCTAATTACTGACTGAATTTCATGCATTAAGTATGCTATGTGATCATCAATTTAGAAGACTTAGAATGACGTTGCACTCTGACCAATGTTAGATAATTAAATATTATCTCAAGCCTTCCTATCAATAGTTATTTTACTTCAGAGAAATATCTTGGAATACAAAAGTATTCAAATCTTTCAATTAAATAACAAATGACCCATTTTCTATTCTCCTCCACTTGAACAAATATCACCACCTCTACTGATTGTATATTTTTGTATATTGACTGAACAACTTTTTAGTGCAATTATCTGTCACTTTATCGAGTATAAATACGACTGTACAGCTTGATATAATGAAGTCGTTGAAAAGAAATATTTCTTCGCTGATACATGCCTTGTTCTTGTTAATAAATTAGCAACTAACTGAAACCAGCAAAATGCAGTCTATAATATCAAAATTACTTTTTACGATAGAAAAACAAAAATTCAATAAATATTTTCTATTCCTTTAATTTATCTTACCTTATTATTGATGATCATTTTTAATTCAATCAATTTATAATTACTTTTTTCTTTAACTAGCATACTATAAAATGTATATGCCCATTCGATACGAATTTGTTCAATGCCGTAGATTTGTTTAAAGAAATGATTTACAAATTGATCAAATGGTTTTAGTGCTTCAAGATGCTTTTGCTGATGACTTGTTGATAATTTCGATTGTGTTCCAGTGGGTGGATGTGCTTTCATCTGAGTATATTCCATTAGTATATTGATTGATTCAGTGTAGAAAAGAAGAGAAAAGGAGGAAATTCATAAATTTACTTTGATTGATAATTGAAAAGCAACCAATTTCATACTTTACCGTCAGTGCTGACAGAGTTCTGTCGATCATTTTGTAACGCGGTCATTAGGTGAGGAGACTCAGAATGATACTACACTTTGATTGACTTTAGATGGTTGAAGGCAGTCAACATGAAGCTCTAGACCTAGTGCTTCTTGATACTCATCATCAAGGTGAAACCTCAAGCGAACTGATGTCTCTTGAGAGACCTGAACCTGTGTCACCCAGTGTTGCAGTCATATATGGGCAACTTTTCGAACGGCTCAGTGGCAACATCTGTGATTGCAAGTCTCGATGACGCGAGTTGAAGTCTTGAATGAGATATCAGTTTCCTTGAGGTAACATTTACATCATACTGACAAGCAGCAACAAGCATTAAGTCAAGCTTCATGTTTTCTTGCCGGTTGCCTCGAATCATCTGGTAGCATTCATGAATTCATTTGTTTAAAAGGCAGATATTCAAATTATACTAATTTGTTCATTGATGGTTCATCAAAATAAAAGTTTCCGATAAAATAATAATATTTACAAAACTTGGTGAGTGTGAAACGAATAAGCGTCATGCTTTGTACACTGTAGTGCTGACTAGATACAACAGATGAGATATTCATTTGGAACAACTCGGTGGTAGTGTTTGTAAGTGTAGTTCCAATTGACATGTCATCTAGTCTTTAAGAAGACGGGGTTTTATCTTTAGATCATATATTATAACATACTGGTGGGAACCAGTGAAAGACAAACCCAGATCGAACAGGATCATATTTAAAACACCAACTATCCATTACCAAATGTTAATTAAAATGCTTTTCTTTACTATGAGATTTCGTAAAAACTAAGAGATTACAACTGCTGTCTTAATGCTTCGGTTAAGCATGTTTTTATTGGATTTATGATTTTAAATTGTACATTGGCTATTTCTGGACTCTAGCCAAGTTGTAATGTATTGAAAAAGTTGATATCTTATTTCATCTGGTAATAGACACCATTTTCAATAGCTGACCATTGCTAAGTTTTCTGAATTGTCTTAATAAATTATAAGATTTCAGATCAAAGAGATTCTCATTTTTGGAGGATCAATTAAGACGAAGGCGATTAAAGACATCAAGTGGAAATTGTCTGGAGCACTAATGTAAACCAAAAAATACTGAAGAATCAATTCTACTTGATACATAACTTCCAACTTTGTTCAGGCTTACTGGCCAACAGTTATTGTGTTGTTATGATCTTGCTTCTATCATCCCGTCGTTGACTGGATCAACTGATCGGTCTCCATTGGCATATGGGCTGTTGCTCGGGTGTTTCGCTATTGCCTGTCATTTTAACATCATAGTAATGATGGATAGTGTGTAGCAGTGGGATTTAGGAAGCACGTTTCGTCCCATTTGCGACTGGTCAGATGGATGTATTTACCACACAGTGAGTGATGTAGTTTCTAGTAAAACAAGGACCAAGAACCAATCGCTTCAAATACAAGTGACAAGACAAAAACTATACTCATTGCAGAAGAAGTGGCTTTCGTGACCAGGTGGCTTAGTTGATTATGCTCTGGTGTTTGAAACGATAGGTCTCGGGTTCAAGCCTTACTGGAAACAACGTCACTCACTTTGAGGCAGGTACTTTTAGCTGACGAGTCCTGGGTTCCCCTGCTAGCCACTGTCTATCATTAATATAAGTTATTTTGTTGATTTTCTAACTTGATACAGAATAGTATTGCATGAAAATTGCGTGGGACTTCTGACATTTGCGCTAACTAATTTACATTGCTCATGATTAAGGTTATGTTCAAATGAATCAAGTCCGCGAAATTGCGGATTTTAATTCTGCAAATGTGATAGTAACGTTAGATTGTATGATGAATAAAAAGAAATCAACGGTTAAAATAAACATCATGGTGAAATTTTCGACATGGTGTTTGTTGATAACAAGTTGGTTGCGCTAAATTAATTTAAACGATTATACAAAGAGCTTATTGAAATCCATTCATTATGTAATAAAAACTCGACTCATTACATAAACTAAGTGCTGTACTACGTGAAGGAGTTAAGTTGCCTTGAAAAATTATGCACCAGTCGATTTGAGAGAGATGATGTAACTTTGGCTTCAAAATAAACATTAAAAGAGTAAGTTTAAGCTTTGAGAGTCTTTCCATAGTGTAGTAGTTTAGAGTTAAGACCTCAGTATATTGAATTTTATACAGTAAAATTTAGACTTACTTATGACTTATCCTTGTATGTTTTACATTTATTTCACAATTCTATATCTGTAATATCCCAATGGTCAATCGATTCAAAGAATTCTGTTTAGGTAGTACACATACTCAGTTGCCAAGTGACCATGGAAATTTACAAATTTACAAAATCGAATATACCCTGTTAAAATCGAAAGTATATTTAACTACTACCTGATCCTCAATACAGTCCTATGAGGATGCAGTCACAGCCTAGCCTGTCTGATCATAACTTATGTCACTTCAGACCTTCAATACTTACATTCGAATCCCTTTAGCAGTATACATTTCTTTGAAGTAACAGTTCTGTTGCCTAATCCAAGTGCTTAGGAAAACAACAGTTATCTTATAGCTTTCTGTAGATTGACTGAAAATCATGCATGTGTTCACATAATTATCGTGCGAAATAACTTCTCTGATAATCGTATGAATACATTGGTTATTTAAAGATAATCGATGTTGCATATGAAGAATATTGTAAGTATTAATTTTAACAGAAGAGACAGCGAAGACACGACTTCAAGTGAATGTAGAGAAGACAGAGGTGATGATGACACCCAACCAATGCCACTACCAACAACATCAAGCTTCAATAATCATCATCAACGGAAGAAACTTAAAGGAAGTAGCTACATTAACCCATCCAGGCAGCATCGTTTCAACTACAGGCAGCGGTGACGGCCTCACAGACGAGGACTGCAAAGTAGCCTGGGTCGGAAAGACAGCAAGTAGGGCCTTCATCAACCTGAAATCAGTGAGGAGATCTACTGCACTCCACTCCACTGCACTCAGCACAAAGTGTGAACACGACCCGGATTTTCAACACTAAGTCAGTCAAGTAAATCAGTGCTTCTATGTGATGGTTGAGAAACTTGTCGTGTCACGAAAAGCATTTCCAACAAACTACACACATGTATCAACAGCTGCCACCTACGCTCACTTGATGCAGAAGATCAGATGGGAAGCCAGGAAGAATCAGCAACAAGGAACATGGTGACGAAACAACCAAGAACCCATCACCCAATAAATATGCAGAAGGAAGTGGAGATGGATTGGACATACACTGAGAAAGTCATTCGGAGAAATCACGTGCCAGGCCGTCGAGTGGGACCTAGACGGGGAACGGCGAGTTGGGTGTACGAGATGAGGGTGACATGGAGGAGATCATGTGAGGAAGAAGTGAAAGCTTGTGGGCAGTTGTGGAGCCAGGTTGAAAAGACTGCAGAGAACGGAGTTAAGTGGAGACGTGTTACTGAAGCCCTATGTTCCCAAGGGAAAAATAATATTAATAATAAATTTTTCATGGCACTTTATTAAAAGGTCTAGGTGATGCTATGTTCTACCGGAAGGATAAACCATAAACTATTTTGAATGAAGAAAATCGATGAGTTATTCTCTTAGCAGTATAAGAATCGAAATAAATATTTTTCCATAAGTATATTTACATGTAAACAGGTCGAAAATAGATTGAACATTTAATAAACATGTATTTCAAAGTTGATTACAGCAGTTAACCAGAATTTATAATATCTTTCAAACAATGAAGCTATTAGTAAATTAAACTAAAATAACACTTTATAAAAAGGATAGTTTGTTCATAACTATTTCAGGAGCTCAATAAAAATATTTTGCAAGCAAATAGATAATTCTACTAACTTGGAACTTGGCACAAAAATCGTATCCCTTCAGGTTGTCATAACACCCAGAAATCGAAAGGATCAATCAAATAAGAATTATATTTCAATGAGGTCAAAAGTGGATTCGAGAATTGAAAATCTAACCTTTTTTTTATAAAATGATGATAATACTTATAATAATGACAATAATAGTGCAACAGTTCTATGTTTTAGTTACCGAACAATATCTGATATTTTTTGCAAAGCGAATTTGTGAAGGAAATCAACTACATGGAACACTTAATACTTGAAAGTCTTTGATTCTAGCCAACTGTTTTAACTAGTGTTGTCGTGCTGGAGTTCCAGTCTGTTTCAATAATAGTATAAGATGTTATTTCATCTCTTTTAAAATGTCAAGAGGCTATCCGCTGATACACACTAATACTAAGATCTTGACCAGAAACATTATTGACGTTGATAAAATTTGATTCGATTAATTTTTTCTGATGATACTCGAATAATTGTCGTATTTAAAGGCAAAGATTGACAAATGAGTAATGATTACTGAAGGTTAATTTTCTCCTTGATTTACAGCATATATTTTATGAACTCATGACCTGAGAGAACGTTCAGTCTGTTTCATCACTTTTCACCTCCTTACGAAAGTGCTTAAATGTTTCATATTAGGCTTTCATAGAGATTCTCTTTAAAAGAAACCACATAAGGGATTAAAGGAGCTAAAACATGAGTGACTGATTAATTTCCACATACAAAAGCTTGGAATTTAATATATTTGGAAGCTAAACAGAAACAGAATGAGATTGGGTAAAATACTGGTGTCTACCTCCAAATTATGATAAGAAGTACTTTTTGACTGTACTACTTGCAGTGGATCACTGATTGACTTCATAAAAAATCGTCCCAATGTTATCAGATATCTTAAGCAACTGACCTGAAAACCTTTTGATACATATGGATATGCGTTGACTCACATTGTCATAATAGATTAAAATTTGGCCTATTTTCGATTGTACAGGTAACAACTTACAACTAATTCCAATGG